TTGATTTCTTTAAAGTGAGTTTTGCAATCAGAGTTTAAAGCCTGTGAAATGTAAGTAACAGTTGAAGGCACAGAACTAGTCAAGTGAATGTGCTGCCAACCTGTGATTCTTAGGGCTTTATATATTTTTCTTTTCTCTTAAAAATATATTTTATTATTTTATGTGTATAAGTGTACCCGAATGTATGTAAGTACACCCATGTCATACAATGCCCAGGGAGGTCAGCATAGGGTGTTGGATTCCTTTGGAACTAGAGTTATGGATGGTTGTTAGCCACCATGTGGGTCTGGGAATTGAACTCTGGGAATTAAACCCAGGTCCTCTGCAAGAGCAGCCAATGCTCTTAATTGCTGAGCCATCACTCCAGCCCTGGCTTTGAATTTTTCACTTACTAATTTTGACTTGTTGGTGACTCTTGTGACTTTGTTGTTTTGTTTTGTTTTGTTTTGTTTTGTTTTGAGACAGGGTCTCCCTGTAGCCTGAGCTGTCCTGGAACTCACTATGTAGACCAAGCTGGCCTTGAACTCACAGAGATCCTCTGCCTCTGCCTCCTGAGTGCTGGGATTAAAGGCGTGCGCCACCACGCCTGGCAACTTTTTATTTTTTTTTTTAATTGTAGTATCTCCTAACTTAAAACAAAAACAAAATTGGTATGCAAATGTACTAGCTTCCAGACTTCAAAATATCCTGACCTGGTAAAATTTAAGTGAATAAATGGTTAGTGAAAACAACATAACATTACTGTTGTCCTGTTTTATCTGATCTGGATAAAATAAAGCAAATCCACATAGCTGTTGAGGACATTGTTAGCATTATTGAAAGGAAGTCAGAATAGACAGAAGTCTCAGGTAATAGGACAGGCATTTAAATTTAGGTTGGTGGCATTATAGTTTCTCATTTATTCTTGTATGGGAACTACATTTATAGATCATTTAAAATTGACAAGTTGGGAAAGCTCTAGAATCTGAATCTTTCTCATGTGGCCATTAATGAAGCTTCAGTCACATAAGCAGGAGCAGTGCCAGTGCTAGCCAGAGATGGCAGAAAGTATTTTGTGCTGGTCACCCAAAAGTTATATTTTATATTCAATGTATTTGTAGAACAAAATATTTTCTTGACGGTGATTCTGTGTAATGGGTTTCCCGAGAAGATTATTATTATTTTGGTCTTTTTATGAGACAGCGCCTCCCAGTAGCTCCAGCTGGCCTGGAACTCACTATGGAGGCCAGGCTGGCCTTGAACTCACAGAGATCCGCCTGCCTCTGCCTTCTAAGCGCTGGGATCAAAGGCATGCGCCACCACACCTGGCTGAAGATTATTATTATTTTTTTTTTTTTACTTTTTTTTTGGGGGGGGGTTCTTTTTGAGACAGGGTTTCCCTGTAGTCCCAGCTGACCTGGCACTCTCTATGTAAACCTCACTGGCTTCCAACTCACAGAGATCCACCTGGCTCTGCCTCCCAGTGCTGGGATTGAAGGTGCGTGCCACCACACCTGGCTTATTTTTTACTTTATAAAATTTTTTTTTATGTGTATGAGTATATTGCCTACATGTGTGTAAGTGGCTGAAGGAGGTCAGAAGAAAGTATTCAGTCCCTTGGAACTGGAGTTATGGATAGTTGTTAGCCGCCACATGGGTTCTGGGAATCGAACCTGCATCCTCTGCAAGAGCAGCCAGTGCTCTTAACTGCTAAACCATCTGTTCAGCCCCTATTTTATTTTTTGAGAGAGAGAGAGAGAGAGAGAGAGAGAGAGAGAGAGAGACAGACTGAGACTGACCGACTGTGGGAATGTGCATATGGGTGCAGTTTCTCTTATAAGCCAGAAGATAAGGTGGGTACCCCTGGAACTGGAGCTATAGGCCGCTGTGAGCCACCCAATGTGGGTACTGGGACTGAATTCTGGTCCTCTTATACCATTTATTCATTTGTTCGTTTGTTCGTTCATTTATTTATTTGGTCTTTTTGAGACAGGGTCTCCCTATAGCCCCAGCTGGCCTGGAACTCACTATGTAGACCAGGCTGGCCTTGAACTCACTCCCTGTGCCTCCTGAGTGCTGGGATCAAAGGCATGGGCCACTGTACCTGGCTTCCTCTTACACCCTTTTTTTTTTTTTTTTTTTTTTAAAAAAAGACATTTTATGCATATGTTGAGTTCCTGCATGTACGTATGTACAGTAACTATGTGCATGCTTTGTACTTATGAAGCCAGAAGAGGGTATCATATCCCCGGGTGCTCTTAACCACTGACCCATCTCTCTAACCCCAGCTTGAACTCTTATGCATTCTTAACCACTGAGCCATCTTTCTGTAACACTGAGAAAATGAATCCTTCTTTTTTGTTGTTTGATCTTTTAGAGACAGGGTCTCCCTGTAGCCACAGCTGGCCTGGAACTCAGAGCTAGCTCCACCTGCCTTTGCCTCTAGAGAGCTGGGATTAAAGGTGTGTGCTACCACACCCAGTGAGAAAATTACTCTTGAACAGGAGAGGGGACTTTTCCCCCCATCCTAAAATCACTATTATGGAGGACTGTTCTAGTATTAGAGTAGTTTTGTATTTAATTATTTTAGAATTGTAAATAAAATGTATACATTTTCTGAAGGAGAAAGAGAGCAACTTAAATTCTGAGTTGACTTTAGGTTGACTTAAGTGACATTGATGAAACTAGAAGATAATGTTCAGATTATTACAGTTGAACTATGGTCCTCACTTTGATTTTATAGAGGAAGTAGATGCTTAGACTAGTGAAAAGGGTATCCATTGTTCTAAGATTACCCACATAGTATTCTGTGCATTATTTTAGGATTTGATAAAATTTGAAAGTCACAAAGTATAATTGTATTCTGAGTCAGTTCTTGTGACAGTAAATAAGTAGAACAACTATATGAATATTTGAAATTATTTGACTGAGTTATATGCTTTTATTCAAGCTCTATTTGGGGTTAGGGATATAACTTTGTAGTAGAACATTTGCCTAGCATGTGCAATATGCTGAATTTGGTCCCTAGCAGCACACACACACAGACACAGACACACACACACATACACAGACCCATTGTTTTTGTGGGGTTTATTGTTTACTGTGGGAGAAACTGAGCTAGGAATGATTGCTAAGGTTTTTTGGTTATAAATATACCCCTAGACTTCCTCCTCGAGATTACTCACTTGTGTGTTTGATACAGGTGATATATATTGAGAAAATTATACAAAAAGTATAAAGCTAGAGGCGTATACTGCCTGCTGTCTGCAGCTCCTGCAATTGGATGTCTATCCTTCCTGACCCTAGCTGCAGCAATGTCTAAATGAATACTTTTAATTTGTATTGTTCTTCAGTATGTTTTTGCCATTTAGTAACAAATAGTTTCAGTTACCACCAATACTTTATTTTCTTTGACTTCATGGTAGTCTGTAAATTAAAATTTATCAAAATTTATTTATCCAACCCATTATTAAGTAGGTTGCTTCTAGTTTTTTGAAATGGTAGTAATAATTTTCATACACTTATATAGTTATGCCTTATTTAAAAACAAGATACATTCTGATAAAGTATCATTAAGTGATTTCATTATCATTGCTCTGTGAACATTTATTTATACAAGCTTAGATGGTGTAAGTTAATCACTTGACTTGGCCTCTATGCAATTAAAAGACAGTGTAAAATGATGTGTTTTACAGTGCTTAAAATAGAGCATGGCATAGTGTAGTAAACACATAAATCAGTAACATAGCTGCCTGTGTGATCACATGCCATGAACTATATAATGTGTATGCTGTATTTTATGTGACGGGCAGTACAGTGGATTTCTTTATACCAGCATCACCACAAATACTTGAGTAACATAAGACGTCTATAGGAAGTTTTCAGCTCCATATAATCTGATTGGACTATGGTTATATTAAGCAGTGCATGACTTTATTTGCACATTTGTGAAATGTTTTCTTCTCTTTGTCTTTCTGTTTTGTTTCTCCTTTTTTTTCACTCTTTCCTTTCCTCTTTTCCTTCCTTCCCTTTATTCTTTTCCCATTTCCTGTCCATCTTTCTGTCTTTCTTAGGCTTTTGGAATCAGTCTTGAAATAGCCCAGGTTGGCTTTGAAGTTGCAGTCCTCCTTCCTCAGCTTCCTGAGTGCTGAGATTTGAAGGGGTGCACCACTGCACTTAGGTCTGTGAAAGTATTACTATTGGAGTAAATTTTGAGAATTGTAGGGTCACAGGTTGATAACCAAATTGCCTTCAGTAAAGGCCAATTTACATTTGAATCGCAGAGCTCTAAATCTCTACAATTGTACATTCTTACTGGCTCTGTGGTTTGATTGATAGTCTGGTATTTTCCTTGCTTCAAGATTTGAATAAAGTATGAAGGATATCTTTTATCTTTTAAGGAAATAGTTCATGAAACTGATAATTTTAGAATTTTTTTCTGGGATTAGATAAAGTAGCTCAACTTTTGATCTTGCCGGTTTTCACGATAGTTTCTCTGTTTACAAATTCTCCATATCAAGATTTTTTCAGCCAGGGGTAGTAGCACATGCCTTTAATCTCAGCACTTGGAAGCCAGAGGTGAATCACTGAGTTTAGTCCAGCCTGATCTACATAGTGAGATCCTGTCTCTCTTCCTTTCAACCTGTCCCTCCCCATTTTTGTTCTAAGATTTATTGAAAATAATAAAATATTCAATTTACAGTAGTTTATTGATGTTAGCATTTGACTAGTGACCTTTCTATTGAAGAGCTTAATGTTGATATTCTTTGTTGTGTAGGTCTGGGACTCTTCTATTACTTTATTTTTTCAGCCTGTGCTCCAGCTACTTTAGAGCTATCATAGGTCTCACAAGTCAAGATTCATCAGGCCATGCTAAATATTTAAATGTAGACATCCTGCTTTGTATAGAGACAGAAATTTATAGATTAATCTTTGGTGTGGAATATATGCTTGATTTTTGGTTTTTGACAATTGTTTTTTTGTTTGTTTGTTTGTTTGTTTTTCTATCTTCTTATTTTCAGGCAGAGGTAGAGGTGAATGTGGTTTCTACCAAAGAAGTTTTGATGAAGTAGAGGGTGTGTTTGGTCGAGGAGGAGGCAGGGAAATGCATAGATCACAGAGCTGGGAGGAAAGGTAACTAAAAGTATCCAGATTATAATGTAAAGATTTGTTGGTATATAAAACTCACTTAAGCAGGGGGCCATGGTACATAGCAGGGGGCCATGGTAGAAGCCCCAGGTTCGAGTTACTTGAGAGGTGGAGGGAGGAGATTCTTGAGTTTGAAGCTATCCTTGGGCAATTTAGTGGTTTCTTGTCTCAAAAAAAAAGGCTAGGATATAACCCAACAGTAGCTGTCTTGCCCAGCACCGTAAGGCCCTAGGTTCAATACTACAAACAAAAGAAAACAAAACAAAGCTTACTTCTTTTCTTGAGCTGGGCGTGGAGGCACTTTCCTGAAAGTACTTGGGAGGTTGGCAAAAGAATCCAGGCCAAAATGAACTGCAGAGTGAGTTCTGTAGACATACATAAGTGGGGTAGGGGTGGTGGTGATGGACCACCATCTCCCTCCCCACCCTCCATAAAGAAAGAAATTCTCAAAACATAGAACTTACTGATTTTCTGCTTTTCACAGAGAAGAAGCCTCTGTGTACTGTTAAAGGACTTCATTTTCTACAGAAGTTACTAATTATATTTTTAGAAAGATTTAAATGATTTCTTATTTAAAGCTGGAAGCGTGAGTAGATTACTGCATTAGTGTGAACATAGATAATTAAATTGGTTATTTATTAATCAGTGGGAAGCATTTTCATTTTGCTGGTTGGTGTGAGTAAATGCAAAATCTCTGTGTTTGTGACTTTATATGAAGTCTGGCAAGATGAGTGAAGGCAGTTCATAAGAAATGGAAACAGGCCAAACAGGTGACATTGGTCTTCTATGATGCTATATTCACAAATAGATTATAATTTTATAACAAAGTTAATGATGAACCCTTATCTGAAAATAAAAATAGAAGAAAAGGGTCAGGGTTGGGTTCAATCCTCAGGACCACAGACAAAAGAAATTTACTGATATGGAAAAACATTGTAAAAACAACATATAAAACTAAGTATCATACATCTAACATTAATGGTCTGCTCATTAGAAGCTATTTGGTAGGTGAGGTGGGAGAGTTTTTGTTTTCGTCTTTATGCTTTTCTCTGTTTTCTATGTATTAGGCAGTACCTGTGCATTTGTTTTAAAATTTGAAAAAAAGAACTGTTGTTAAAAGAAGATAGGAAAGTAGGAATCATGGATGAGATATCTATATGTTGCTTTCAAGCCTTCTTTGAAATTTATTTTGTCTTTTTAAGGGGTGACAGGCGCTTTGAAAAACCAGGACGGAAAGATGTAGGTAAGGTTCTTACTATTTTGAAATACTTCCTGGACTTGCATAGTATTAATGTTTAAGGCACATACATAGGAGTAAGCTCAGTCAGCTTGGTGGCGCATGCCTTTAGTCACAGCACTCTGGAGGCAGAGGATCTCTGTGAATTCAAGGCCAGCTTGGTCTACATAGTTTCAGGCCAGCTCAGGCTACAGGGAGACTCTGTCTCAAAAAGACAAAAAAAATTTTTTTTTTTTTTAAAGAATAAGCTCATTAAAAATTAATTTAGTTACCAGTAGGTGGAGCTATAACACTGCTTGCACTTAGTATTCCCTGGTGCTTAGTCATGGCCTCCATTGTGTGAAACCAGGAGGGAGCACAACCATTGGGTACTTGACATAGCACATCAGGGCTGTGTGTTCTCTGCAAGGCATGCATTTTACATTAAGCTCTTTTTTGAACTGAATTTTCATATTGGAACGAATCTGATTACTTCTTTTCTAGTGTGGATAGCATCTCCCAGGGGAGAAGTAGAGAAGATGCTGGAACCTTTGCTTTTGTATTAGAGGGCAAAGGCTAAAACTAGGAGTGGTTTTACTTTAATCATTTATTGGACCTTTTTCTTTTATTGTATCTATGCGCATGATATGTGTCTGGGACACATATTCCATAACATGCATGTGGAGGTCAGAGGACAACTTTGTAATTTTGCAGAGTTGGTTCTCTCCTTCCACCTTTATGTGAGTTCTGGGGATTGAACTCAGACCGCCACACTTGCATGGCAAGTGCTTTATCACTGGCTCACCTTCATTTTATTTTAGTTTTCTCTATATACTTTTTTCTTGTGAGAAAAAAATTTTATCATAAAGGTGTCTATATAAGAGGAACTTAATAAGAAAAGATGACCAGTGTAAATGATGATTTAGTCAGTTTGTAATGTTGATAGTTTTTCCTACTGATAAATTGTCAGTATATATTAAAATTTGCGAAGAAAAAAAGCCAGTTCACAGTGTTGTTACGGTCATGAAAATTGTCCACAGTTTGTATCTTCCTACAACTAGCAGGAATCTTCTCATGTTAAGTCTAAATACTACTCACAGACTGAACGTAAATTGTTTTGCAAACAAGGACGTTATGGCAGTAAGTTTCATTTCACTTCTATGTAAAACTCATTTAAACATATCAGTGATGTAGTCTTTTCATTATCCATGGCATTGGGACTACTTGGTTCATATTAATGAAATAACAGTAAATGAATGCAGCATGAAGAAATTTGGGGTTGACTAGGTAATTGATTGAAACCTTTATCCATATTTAGACTAGTGAATGAGTACTACCTTGAAAGACTTGCCAGAATCTCTGCTCCCATTTCTATCTGATAATGAGTCAGTACTTAAAAAAAGAGATTTTTCTTTGTGTCTGTGTGTTTATGGCACCCAGGTGTCCAAGTATCCTCAGAGGACAGAAGAGGTCTTTGGATCCCCTGAAGCTGGAGTTGGAGGTAGTTGTAAGCCACCTCAGCTGGGTATTGGGAACCGAACTCTGGTCTTCTGGAAGAGCGTCAAGTGTTCTTAACTGCTGAGCTGTCTTTCTCGCCCCCTTTTCAGTACTTTTGCCAGTGAGTGTGGAAAGATGATGAAGGGTAGTTTAAAGAGTACAGTATTTGAAATCAGAAGCTCTTGTGTATTCTAAGCTCTTAGATATTCATTAGTCTCATAGGAAAATGAGATAATATCTTACAGAATTTTTAGGGTTAAATAAGAATATATGAACTCATTTATTCAGCAAGTGCTCTTAACTGTTAATGCCTCCTCTCCAGTCTTCCATTGCCCATTGTGTTCACTTCTGAGGCCACATCTTGCAAGGGTCATACTTTGAAATAGGTAGCAAAGGCACTTGAAGCCTGGTGGTGGGAACTGCAATAATGAAATGCAGTTATTTGGATAGGAGACAAAACTGTGGGCAGGACTGAGGAGGGAGAAGGGTCACTGCAGTACTTGCTTATCCATCAGTTGAAAGAAACTTGATTTGACCTGCATAAGTTTCAAGGTCAGAAAAGGGTTTAGGAGAAGAATAGGAAATGAGTTTTATCAGGTCACTGCAAATACTTGCTTATCAATCATATGAAAGAAATTAGACTTGACCTTCAGGAGTTTCAAGGTTGTAAAGAGCTGAACAGTGGAAGATTCAAGGAGGCAGGTATTTAATACATTCTTAAAAAGACCTAATGAAGTTGTCTGAAAATGATGTGTGCCTTGGAGTAGTAGGGAATTCCTTTGGTGAGATTAGCTTGATTTTTAACTTGAAACATACTCATGTTTCAGTGCTGGGGATGGATGACTATAAAGCTTTTTCTTCATTGTCATCATTTATTTGTGGTTATTAAATGAATTTAATTAATTTTCATAGCCTGTATTTTGAAGAGTAAAGGTTCTTTGCACTCTATTTTTGAAAAGGTAAATCTCATAAAAAAATTGACATGAAATGTAAAAATATTATAGACGTTCATATGCTGACTACAAGTGTACTAGAATACTCTGTCAGTTTCCACGCATTGTAATATGCTTTTTTGTAAGATGGTGAGTTCAGGCTAGCCGTTCAGAATTCTGATCTTTTATTTTTGTGCATAACCTACATTTGTTGAAAGTGTTACAGTTTGAAAATCTGTTAGCAGGGGGCTGGAGAGATGGCTCAGCGCTTAAGAACACTGGCTGTTCTTGCAGAAGCCCCAGGTTCGAATCCCAGCACCCACATGGCAGCTAACAACTGTCCAGTAATTCCAGTCCCAGGGGATCCAACAGCCTGTCTGTCCTCCCTGGGCATTGCACGACACGGGTGCACTTACCTACATGCAGGCAATACACACATACACATAAAAAAAATAAAACATTAAAAAAAAAAATCTGTTAGCAGTTCTAATCCTCTCCAGGATTAGTAGTACTAAACTGGTTTATTGGGGCAAACTGATATGTTGATCAACTGTGAGATGTCCTACGACATTAAGTTAAGACAATTCAAATATTAAAGACACTAGGATGACTTGCTCTTTTTATTTTTAAAATTGTGTGAGTTGTGTGTGTGGAATGTGTGTGCTGTGCGTACCCTTGTGTGTGTGTCTGTGTCTGTGTCTGTGTCTGTGTGTATTCCCACACATATGAGCAGAGGCCAGTAAAGGACGTTCCCCTATCATGCTCCGCATTGTTCCCCTGGGATAAGGTCTCTCACTAAATCTGAAGCTGTTTTGGCTAAGCTGACTACCAGTATGCTCTCTAGGTGCTTCTGTCTCCACCCTCCAGTGCTGGGGTTACAGGTACACATGCCCATCCCCTTCCTTTTTACATGACTGTTGGGGATTTGAACTCAGTCCTTGTGTTTGTGCAGCAAGTTGTCTTACCCACTGAACCATCTCCTTAGTCCCAACTTATTTGCTTTAAAATTAGAGAAGGTTCATACTGTGTATTTGCTTTTTATATATTTATTTTTATTTTTTGGTCTTTTTTGAGACGGGGTCTCCCTGTAGCCCCAGCTGTCCTGGAACTCGCTGGGTAGACCAGGCTGGCCTTGAATTCACAGAGATCCTCCTGCCTCTGCCTCCCGAGTGCTGGGATTAAAGGCGTGCACCACCACGCCTGGCTGCTTTTTAAGATTTATTTATGTATTAATTTTGATGCTGGGATCAAACCAGGGGTCTTATGAAAGCGAGGCAAGTGCTCTGCCCTTGAACTACAGGCCCAGTACATGCATTTGCTTTAGATGTGAAGAGAAATGGGTGGAATTATAAACATCTGGCTAAGAATTGTGGCCTATTCCTGTATATATCCGTGGGAGAATGTGGCAGTGGAAAATGGCCTGTGACATTAGATTTATAATTCCAATTCACTAGGAATTGATTGCTGCACAGGAGAGAGATTAGTTCTTGTAATCATCTTGTAGTATGTTACTAAACAAAAATGATCCACATGATATCAGTCATTCAGTCAAGTATGATTAGTGCATTTTGGGTTGAAGTTCTTGGATAGACATTGATAACTGTAGTTAACAAATGTTTTCTGGCATCTGGTGGTATGCCCTTTTTTCAAACAGAAATGAAGGTTTAACATTTTTTGTAATTGCTTATCTTTAGTTTGTTAGAACTGTCATGCTTTCTGTACCAGTATCCAAGAGTACTTTACTTGGTTGCTAGTGGTTGGTCTTGTTCTAGTGATTTCCTTCTTTTCCATTTGTATTCTGTATTCCTGAGGGGATAATGGTCTCTTTGCAGAAAACTTAATCCTAGGAACTATGATTCTTTGAAATAAATGAAAGAATTGTAGACAGTGCTTCCAGAATCTTTCTAGTGCCTGAACAAAAATTTTGGATTACATTTCTTAGTTGTAAAATAACTAAATACATCAGTTTACCAGCAGGATTGTTTCTGGTGTGTGGAAAGGAAATCACATTTAATTTTTTCCTTAATTACTAGCAAGTTTATGTCTTACTAGTAACTATGATATGAGATTTTTCTGACTTGATGGGGGAATATGAATCCTCTATAGAAAGACAGATCTCAAGTTTCTTAGTGCATTTGCTCGTCCCCTTGGGCAGCTTGATGTAACTATTGAAATTGTGATCTCTGTAAGTGACATAGTGCTCTTAGGAAGAAACATGCAGAGTGATTGTCTGATACTATTTTATTTTCACAGGTTAGGCAAATCTTATTAAATTATTAGAGAAATAGGAATTTTTGCTGTCTTTGTGTTGACAGTAGTCTTGGGTTGGAAACAATGTCTATAAGCCTGCCTATTTCTTAGGAATGAATGCCTATGATTTTTTAAACAGCAAAAGTTCACAATAAATAGGTTTCTGTGTTCTTGATGTTCTTCTGCCACTGTCAGTCTCAGACTACTCCAGAGTTCGTTATTTTCTTTTCCTTTTGTCAAAGAGTAGAAAAATGTGTCTTGTTGCTCTTTATAATGCAGTATTTATTTCAAGAGATGATCCTGCCTGGGTCATCCGCCACCAGAGAAGGTTAATCTTTCACTTTTCCCACATAAGCCTGAATAAGGGAAATTGAAAAGAAGATGTGCAGCTACAAACGTCTTTGAAACCTGATAGTGTGACTTTTTTGGTTTTTGTTTTGCTGGAGGACAGCTCAATTTTTAATTCAAATGAAAATTATTTAAAAAAGTATCTTAAATTAAGCTGGGTATAAGAGAAAGCATTCATCTTAGTATGTATAAAATAAAAGCCGAACCAGAGAAAGTATAATTTTCGTGGGATATTAGACTTGGAAAGAAATAATAGAGATCATCTAGTCCAACCTCCTACTGGTGAGCAAACACTCATTTTGTGTTTATAGAAAAAACTATTTGATTTGGAAACAGGAATTTGGGTTTGAAAATACTTTTGTTGCCTGATTTTTTGCTTTATCTATTGGAGATTTTTTTTTTTTTTTTTTTTTTTGCTGAGTTGAGTTATAGCCTAACTAAATCTTGTATCTATAGAAAATTCAGTATGCATTTGTATCAACAGTGTATGTAGAGCACATCTTTTTTATGCCATTGAGTTGGTCATAAGCTGGAAGATAATGCTTTTTACTTAGGCTGGAAGCAATTCGGATGGCTAGATGATTAGAGTTTGAAAATCACTAAAGTATTAGACAAGGTAGTCTTTTAAATAGATACATACATCTTTGCCTCCTTTTGCCAGAAATACCACCCTCCAGATTCTGCTGGGCCCAGAGTGTCTCTTACTTGCTCTGGGTACCTTCTACCACAAATACATGAATATATACATGTCATGTTGAAATACTTTTAGGAATCCATATTATGTTCTTTTGAATTTTTGTAAGGAGATACTTAACCCTAGTTTTGTAGTTAAAGAACCAAAGGGATGATTTTTGTTGTCTTGAAAAATAACAGTTGTAAAAGGATGCTCACTAAATACTCTTTCCACTCAGGGAGCTAAGTTTGAAACTAGGCTGTTGCTTCAGTTTGCAGGTGAAAATGAGAGATGTATAGTTGATTTTTCTTAGAGTTCAGCTATGCTAGCCTTCATAACTGATAGCATATGCTACATCATTATAAACTCACCAGCACATTTCTGTATGGTATCTTATCAGGTTGAGTTGCATCTATTTCAGCAGATAACCACAGATACAAACTTTGTAAGATAGACTGTTCTCTTTTCAGGATGTATATTATTAGCTCCGTCATTTTTTTGTGGGCATAGGCATGATTACCATGATGTAATCAGCTTTGAGAAGAAAGAAACATAAGATACAGTGAAGGAAGAATAGCTGCTTAACTGGCTGGATATATTTAATACATTAAAAAGGATGGCATAGATAAGTCTTAATCTGTCAGCCCTGTTTCAGAGATCTGAAAATTATCAATGCCTTGTCCATTGATACGGATACCTAGGTCAGTCCTGTGTGGGCTCTTAGAGACCAGAGGAGTTGGAAGTTCAGGAACAGTCTTGTCAAAATTCTCCATCTTGACTTGATACTCACCTTTGGAACCTCGGGTCAACAGAGATGCAAAACAGTGATGTAACATGATCTCAGAGGGTAGGTAGGATGTCCTCCTCTGGCAGATTTCTCCAGTACCTTCCTGCATTGCTGAAAGGAACACAACTAATTCAAAGTGGGGAGGATTTTCATGCTGGAGCAGAGTGGCTAGAGGACTTGATGGTGTAATGGCATGGTGGTAGGTTAGTGGGAAGATGAAGAATGGACATTCCTCAGAATTGATGCCATCGAGGTGGAAGTCCACACTGGTCTGGTAGAGTTCACCATTTTCTCTTTCCTGATAGAGGACAGCTGAGACCCGAACGCTGGTCAGAGGGCTGGGCCGGATGTTGGCCACTTGGAAGATAAGATTAGGCTTGCCATCTACGTGAGCTACTACTGCTAGGTCAGTAAAGCGAATTGAGAAAGCTCGATTTTTTGGCCTGGCAATCTTCGCCACAAAGGCACCTAAATTCAAAACCATTGAAATTTTTTTCAGAATGAAGTAGCAATACTTTTTCTGAATGAGAATAATATATCAAGTAGTCACACATTTCTCACTATATTTTCCACTGAGCCAATAGTTCATCTCATTGTTAATTTTGGATAAGCTCACTTGCCTGAATTTTTAAGAGTATACATAATATTTCTATTAACAACCAACAAAACCCCATAATATTAAAATGGGTATGAGAAATTTGATTTTTTTATGCAGATTTGGAAAGCTTTATCATGAATTTCTTACAAAGTCAAACAGGAAGTTGAAGATAACTGATATTCAGTCGTACACTTAAATGTAATATAGTGCTATATATGCTGTATCAATGCACTAGCAAAATCTAGCAATGGGTTTAATACTGTGATTTCGAAGTATTGTAGTTTGATATGAAAATACCTGATTTCTATTTATAACAAAGTTACTGGTAGTGCTAATAGGTTTTTTTTGGGGGGGGGTGGATATAATTTCATAATTGAAGGTAGTACCAAATTTAGTTAGGGGTTAGTACAAAAATTTAAATGTTTTCTTCATATAAATACATAATGTTGCCTTAAATTTGTCTAAGAACTGACCTAGTGTAAGCACATTCTTGTAGAAGTTAAGTGATTTGTTTCAGGTTGGAGAGCCTCATTCCAGGTTGTCATTGTGAGGCCCAGTGCTTATCTTCTCAGTCTATATTGTGCTTTTAGAAATTGTGTATGCCCCCCCACACACAAAAAAACCCCAGCTGTGTTAGAGGGGAGCATCTCACACGTTGCCAGGCATATAAGCAAAATTTTCATCTTTATGGCCATATTTCCAGTGCATATTGCTAAGGATGTATAGGTGAAACTTTTTCTTTTAGATATAATGTTGAATGTGGTGCTGTGGGGTCACTTGTGTTGAATAAATGTTGAATAGGTGATCTCAGGGGAAAATCCACCACAAGAAGGAAAAGTTACATTCTTGTTAGGTGGCATGACTGTTAAAATGTGCTTGGAATATATTTATTCACATATGGAGCAAAATAGCTTCTAAGAAAAATTACTTTTAGGCTTTTTGTTAATATTTTTCTTGGAACAGGGTATTCCTATAAGTTAGTGATATGTGGTCCTTTTTTTCTTCCATAGTTCCAGTAGGTAAAGTTTTAAGTGTTGAGTCCCATTGCTTGCACATTTCTATTATATGTCCACTGAATTGTTTTCTTTTCTTGCTTTGGCCTTTGGCATCACTGCTCATAATACAGACAAATGATCTATAACAGACTTACCTATAACTGACTATACTTTATTAAAAGGTGTGCAGTTTCTTTTTAAAAAACAAATATATTTACCTGTGATAAAAGCCTCTAGCATGAGGCCTAGGAGCATTTGTATGGCCAGCAAGGCGATTGCACTTGGACAGTCACCACTGGGGAACATGGTACCGTAACCAATTGTAAGTTGTGTCTCCAGTGAGAAGGAGAATGCAGCGGTGAAACTGGTGATGTACTTGACACAGATAGTGTGGTTTTCAGGTGGGGCATCGTGATCTATTTCCAGATCACCATTCATCTCAGCTAGAACATACCAGAGCACTGCAAAGACAAGCCAGTGGACCACAAAAGAAGCAGAAAAGACCAGCATCATCCAGCGCCAGCGCATGTCCATTAGGATTCCCCATGCATCCCGAAGATACGCAAGACCTCTTTGAGCGCCATCCATTTGAAGTGTGCTGTGTCCATCTTTGGTGACCATCCTCCGGTATCTTTGACTTAGGAGAGGAGCATTAACTTTGCAATTGCTGCTGTCCATTTCAGGCTGTAATTCCCTGAAATCAACAATAAAGTAGTCAGCCCTTAACTATCTTACAGTTAATATTCATGAAATCTGAAGCCTCTTTCACTTTGTGTTTTCTCAAAGATCCTTCTCTGCTTGGGCAGGCTTTCCTATGCTGTTTACATAAGAGGGCGATTACTAGCCAAGTCATTCATTTGCTAACTAATATATCACCTTAAGGTATTCCTTATAATTTCCTTAAGTGACTATTAAATACCATTTGATGTTTCAGTGCTTTCTAAATATATTTTAGAATTTCGGAAGGTGAGAGTTATGATTGGTACATGCTTAACATGCATGTGTCACCTCTGCACAAGTCCAAACATTACATATTTATTAATTAAATACTATTTGTAAGCAACCTTTTATGATTAACTGATAATTAGGGATACTTCATTATTAAAAAGACTAAGTTGAAGTATATTACTATTGACTGTGTAAATAAGATCATTTGGAAAGTGAGTATTAGACTGTCTGCAAATGTTTTGTTTCATGTTTTTGCAGTGCTGGTGGTTGAACCCAGGGCCCTGGACATGCTAGGCAAGCACTTTGCCATTGAGCTAGGCATCCAGTCTTCTGCAAATATTTTTAAGCCAGATATAGTACTAGGACAAGACATGTTTATGTTAAGCTTTTAGATATCCATGTTCCCCTCTTGTTTGTTTGTTTGTTTGTTTGTTTATTTATTTATTTATTTATTGTGTGTGTGTGTGTGTGTGTGTGTGTGTGTGTGTGTGTACGCGCTCACTTGCATACATTCCATGGCATGCATATGGAGGTCAGAGGACAACTTATAGGAATCAGTTTTCTCTTTCTACCATGTGGGTTCTCGGGATCAAACTTAGGACATTAGGCTTGGCAGCAAGTGCCTTTACCTACTAAGCCATCTCATCAGCCCAAGATGCACAGTTTTAATGTGTGCTTTATAAGTAGCCTATTCAAAATTTTGTGTTCAAGTTTTGTTTTCTTATTGTAGATCTATTCATACATTCTTTCTGCCCTCACTGGTGGATAGCTGTACCTCCTCTCAATGTCTTGGTTTATACTAAATCTTTGCAAAATAAGAAAATCCAAACTGGGACTGTAACTCTATGGTAGAGAGTACTCGCCTAACATACATAATAAGGCCCTTGGTTCAAACCCCAGTTGTCCCCGTTCCAAAAAAGTAGACTTTTTTTTTTTTTGGTCTTTTTGAGACAGGGTCTCCCTGTAGCCCCAGCTTTAGATAACACCCTTTGCTCTTGGTGTTCAGGATGAACCTCAGGGCCTTGTGCATGCTAGGTAAGCACTCTGCCACTGAGACATCATTCCGACTGCAAATAACACTAGCTTGTAAAGTAAGTAAACCAGAAGAAAAAGTGTTAAGTATTTAACAAACAAAAGTAAGCATTATGAGATACATGACAGTTTTGTAAAGGTGTTAATATAGTTAGTTTTCATCGGGTTTATACTTTCGTCTGTATGGTAAATAGAAAATCTAATGTGTAGCCAACCTTGCAATGACAAATATAGTTAAGACCTTAGTGTTGTGACTACCAACAGCAGATCAGGAAATACAACCTTGCTTTCATTAAGGGCTCTTCTTGTTTGCCACAGCCCAGTAATATTAAGAGTCTTATTTCCCAGCACTCGGGAGTCAGAAGCAGGCGAATTGCTGTGAGTTCAAGGCCAGCCTGGTCTACATAGCAAGCCACAGGCCAGTAGAGGTTACAGGGGAGGCCCTGTCTCAAAAAGACCCCCCCCCAAAAAAAAAGTTTATATTTGATCCTTTTCATCCCTTCTTTCTTCAGAAGTAGATACCTTGAGAGTGCTATCTATCTACTTCTCCCTTCTCCCTGTCCCCCAGCCCTCCCTCTGTCTCCTTGTATAGGAAAGGCTGGTCTCAAACTCTGGATCCACCTGCCTCTGTCTTCTCAGTGCTAGGATTACAACCATGCACTACGTGCTTTGCTGTTCTCTTCTTTTTGAAGGACGCTTAAGAAGGCAGCAGGGTAATGTGGAGTGAGGTTTCTTGGTTTGCTGGATCCCTCTTATGTCTGGGGACTTTAGGATTTTAGAGATTTGTTTTTTTTGTTACTGGGATAAGACATTGGACAGCTGGGCATATACAACTTTCCCTTTTGTCTTAAAGCTAAAGTAATATTTATTGATGATACCCAGAGCATTCTTCTTTTTTATATTTTTCTCAGATTTGAGCTAGAGCTACTGATTGAACATTGGCATGGTTCTTCAATTTATTTAGATTAGATGGCATTTCAGTTCATATGAGAGACATTAAAGAAAAAACAAAAACCCGTGTTCATGTTTTATCACTTTACTGCCCTAGCAAGTTGTCATAATCTTTGAGTATATTTTTGTTGTTAGGCAAGTGCTGACAGTGAGCCTCACCCTCAGCCCGTATTTAATGCTCCTTATTTTGCTACATTCTTAGAATGTTTCAAAAGACCTGATCTCTCTCCTTTTAGAAACAACAGTCTTCCTAGGCACTGTGCTAGGTGCCTTCATACTGTATCCCGCCCCCCCCGGGAGAAGAGACGCCACTAAGGAGTAGAGAGAGGAAATTTATACATATCAAGTAAGGGCTTTAGATTATTGCCCTAGTGTGGCTAACAGCAAAGCCAATTCATAAAATTTTCTTCCATGCTCTAGAGCTGTTTTTTTGTAGCCAATTCCCATCTTTAGTAGTAGATCTTCTTGTCCCTATAAATCAGATAACTAACTTAAACCATTGTAAATTTTATACATGATTTAGCTAGTATGCATTGTTTAATATGTGCCAGGAACCATACCAAGGAAGTTAAAAAGCAGTGCTTTGCATCATAAACTCTCACTAGTATTCGCTTTATTTTTATTGATAATATCTCCTAACTTTCATAGTAATAAGTACTGATACTGTTTCCATTCTACAGATTATGAAAGTGAGACATAGTAAGTTTCCTAAGATCATAAAGTTAGCAAGTTCTGGCTGGCTATTATCCCTATGCATATCCTGGTCCAGAATTGCTGCTATATTGCCTCAATAAACAAGACACTTGACCCTGGTTAGCCTTTGTGAACAACACTGTCAAGACCACTACAGAATATTTGTTCTTCAGGAATACTTACCCAGTTCAGACTTAAAATTTGTAGTTAAGAAATAGGTTTTCAATTAAGGAAGACTTCTTTCAAGACTTGAAGATTACTAAAATCAGAATTATTAGCCTATTCTGCAGAAGAGTAAAAATATGGAGAGAGGCATTCTTTGGCAACGTTACCTTGAATATATTTTGCCAACTAAGAAGACAATTTTAAAAATATAATATTGTTAGCATAATTTTATAAAAGAAAAGATTTTGACACTTAAAGGATATAACAGTGAAAAGATAGTTGACTTCTTTTGCAAAGATGTATAAACAGCTTTGTTTCCTCCTACCCCTGTGGAAATGCCTCTTGTGGGACTAGACACTGACATTGTTCCCTTTTGGAGTCACTGTCCTGTGAAAGCTGCTAGGCTCCCTGTTTCACCTATTGGGGCAGAACAAGCTCCACCATTCTTTAGGCCTGCCTGATATAAAATTCCTCTTCCAGAGAGCCTTTCAGTGTATCCTGTACCTTAAGCAGTTAATTATCTCACTTGGTCTTTTTAGAATTACTCCTTGCTACTTAGTTTTTATAGAGTCTTCTAGGCTTGTTAGAATTTTATTTTTTCCTTCAGCAACTAAATAACATGGAAAAAGCCATGACCAGGAAGTCAAAAGGCCAACATCAAAACAGTGAAGACGTTTTTGTTTTTTTTTCCCTTTTTTTTTTTCCTCCTGAAACTTTGTTGACTTTTGTTGGATGATGATGGCAAATAGTTCAGAAAAGTGATTTTGATTCTCACCTAGTGGTGTATTACCCTGAATGTTTGGATTCATGCACTCTTTTTTGTGTTGTACAAGAACACAGTGTAGGGAGCATGGCCTTTAGACTATGGCTCTGTTGTGCATATTGCTGTGTCACTTTGAGTAAGATACCATTTTCCCTTGTACTTGTTTTAATCCTTAGATTAAAACAAAGAATGTGGTTAGAGGAGGAGATGTGAGACCCTAACCCCTACCTCTGTTGTTTGTCAGTGTATTTTTAGTTCTCTCAACTCATACATGATTACTGTAGGATTCTCTTTTTTCCTGTTTGATTTTATGTATGCTTATTTGGTATTTTAAGAAATGCATTACTGTTGCCTGATATATATGGGATTTTTTTTTCCTCCATCCAGTATAAAAGTTTCTGATGGGCAGACATATTTCTAAGTAATTTTTATATTCTCAGAGACATAGGAGTACACGAATGCCTTTTTATCCTTTTCAAGACAGATCTCAGTGTAGCTCAGGACAACCTCAAACTCAGCTTTGTAGTCAAGGAAGACTTTAAACTCTCATAAGTGCTAGGATTGCTGGTGAGTGCCACCATGCTGGCAATGAGTGTTTTTTGAATGCAGTTGTCTTAATTTATATTTTTGTATGGTACCTCTTATACAAAAATCCCAATAGGAAGTAGAATAATAAAAAAGTTGCAGAGTTTATGTGTGTAACTGTATGGACTGTAAAATATTTACCCATTTATAAAATGTTTGATGGAAAGAATAGTATTTATTATAAAAGTGGTAGTTTGGCTTTATTGGTCATCAAAATAACAGTGTCACTCTATTCATTAGGTGGCAGCCCTTAACCTTGTGCTTTTGCTGCTGTCTTTTAAAGTAGCACTATAGTTCATATTACCCAGTTAAGATACAGGCTGCACTTCAAATGCTGAGTGCAATATTTGTCCATGCCTTATGCAAACACTTTAAAGGCTGTGTTGAAAGTCTTGTAATCACCCCTCCTGGCCTCCATAATTATCACAAACAAAGAGAATTTAACCCCATTATATAAGTCAGAAATTCTTTCATATTTCAATTTCTTGCCTATAAAAGCATCTAATTTCAGTAATAATTCCATGATTAAGAGAAAATTTAAAATTAGCATTCCTAGCTCTTGTGTGGATTAAGAAAATTAAAAACACTATGATTTATTCTTTTGGTGTTTATTTCCATATGTTCATTTTGAGTTTCTTTAATCGCTCCCCAAATCATAATTAATTTTTTAAAAGCCGCTGAGCTTTATCTAGAATCTTTTCCTACTCATTCTTGTGTTACAATGAAGAATTAGTATAAGTTTATTAAAATAACCCAGGAGCAAAAATTTCCTAATGCTTTTAGGTCTGGCTGTTTTCCAGTTCTAAAATTTAAGGATAAAGAACAAACCTCAGTCATCATATAGGTAATGTCTCTGTTTTAAAAATCTATTGAAAATAGTCTAGCTCTGCTGGGCTGTTTGTTTCTCTTAAGGAAAGAATAAGAATGAATGTTATTTCATGTACTTACCAGCTCTTTTGAGGAGTCAGCTTAGGTATCAAGGTAGGTCTTAGGGAAGTTTGCACAGTCTTGTCTCTCTGATCAGGTAGTTTTAACCTACAATGTAGTTTGTAGGTTCTCTTCTTGGACTGGCTTTGCAGCGTACATTCCTGTGTTTATAATGTTGTGGAGGCTGGTTTCAGCTGAAGCTGATATGATTGGTCACTTAGTCTGCAGGGGGGCCAATTAGCTCTGATCGTGTGGAAAAGAATGCTGGTTTGTTAGGAGGTCTTTCTTTACCCAACACAAACCTTAACTCTGGAGAAAGCCTCCAGAACTGACGTGGAGAAGGGGTGCATTTTTTCCCTCTAATCAGGACCGGTTTTTAGTAAGTTTGCATAATCTTATTTAAGAGTTTATTTGAAAGTTCAAAGGGATAAAATTCCCTGCAAGATTTCCTTTCAGCCCTCTCTCCTTATATAGCATGTTGAAGTGTGAGGTATCTCTTTCACTAATCTTTTTTCCACCATTTCTTGAGGGAAGATTTTGTTGGGTAAGGATGTTTAGGCATAATTGATTAATTGATTTTTTTCTAGTTTTCTTATCAGATCCCACCCCATCAGAATGGTTACTATTAGTTTCAGAACTAGTAAGTATAGATACTTTAGTTACCTAAATTTTTTTTTTCCCTTAATTGCAAGGGATCAGTCCCTTCCTTCCTCCTTCCTTTCCTGCCTTCCTTTTTCTTTCTTTCTAAGCTGGGCAGTAAAACTGACTAGGAATAAAATTGTTTGATATACTTTTCTTGAAACAGTACACTTGGGTGAAAGAATTACAGAACTTTCTTAAGGCTTGCTTTAGTGATACTTAGGAGATGGTTTCTTTGGTATGTATGATAAAGTAGAATAAAACACAGCATTCAGGGTACATGAAATTAAATCTAATACTGATACAGTGTTCAGCTGGAAAAATGTCTGTGACCCAGCTTACAGCAGCTTCCAAATAAGCTGAGGTAGAACTTTGTGTAATGCTGTAGTGAGCAGTGTTTTTTCTTCCTCTGCTAGCTGCTGATTTTAAAATTTTGATCAAATGTTACATATAAGAGGATCTGAGAAACAAAGACTGTGTTTGTTTGAAGTAAAAGCGTGGAAGGCCTGCTGGGAAAGTTATTAATGTAGACCAACATAATGCTACTTAGAAAGGGAAATCCGACTTTGTGGATTCCTCTCCTTCCCCTAACAATTTAAAAAATATATTAATTCCTTCTTTATTTTATTAATGCCAGACATTTCAGTACAAGTTCAGACACAACATTGGTAACTTAGACCTTCAGAACTAGGGAAGGTAAAAGAATCAAGGTAAGATTTGGGGTGTGTGACCTGTTTTCTGCATGGACTAGTAGGGATTTGTATCAATTGCCAGCTACCTGAATGAGGAAAAAAATTCCCAATGAAAACAACTAAAATACTAGAGCAAGTATTGTAACATTGCCTTCCAAAAAGCAGAAGCACTTTAGCACATCTGCTGTGTATCTTGCATAGTAGGTAAGACAGAAAAGTTTCATTCAACTCAGAAACCTTTTTTTTTGTTTAATGTTGTGGCTATATAATCTAGGATAGCCTTGTATTTATGATCTCCCTACCTCAGCCCTTCAGGCGCTGAGATTACAGATCTGTACCACCATGTCTGTCAGGTTCTTTCAATAATGTACTCTTGTTTCAGACTGTATTGACACAAAAAATGATTTGGTACATTAATAAAGAAATGTTAGGGACTGGCAAGGTACTCAGTCGTTAAAGGCTAAGGCTAAGAACCACAACATCAATAAATGTTTTCACCAGGCTTCTGTCTATAATCCCAGCCAATGGGAGGCTGAAACAAGAGGGTTGCTGTTTTAGATCAGCCTAACCCCCCGCCCCCCCCACACACATGAGAACACCAACTAATGTGTGTGCGTGTACGTAGGTATGAGTGCACACACACTAAATGACCTAAGAAATAGTTTTCTGATTTGGGGATTCTTCCAGTTTGAAAGTCTGCCACAGATAATAATTCCTAGTTGCTACTGTGTGGATGTATATTAAGATCGATTGACTTTGGAGTGTCTGCTCTGGAGCAGTACATTTCTCTGACAGTCACTTGAGCACCTAAATTATTTTGGGTTGGGGTAGACAGGATGACTGAGATGGCATTGATAATGGTACAGAAGATATTCTACCTTCATCCCAAAACACACAGCACCTCCCAAATGAACAGGATTTGTAACCTCTGTAGGTATGTGACAGTAAGGTAATTGGAATTGGATCTAAAATATCTCTTCAATGAATGAATATAAGTGCTGGATGCGTTACCATTGATTGATTGGTTTTTTTAAAAATTACAATGATTATGCCAGGTTCCAAGAACTGGTAAATTCTTCTTTATTAACTCCAAATCTCTGTCCCTAAAGGTATCTGATTTTCTTTCTAGTGAGGTAGTCTGGTACATAATCTACAAATACACCATTGCTATTGAGAACACAGAGTATTTGCTGGACTACATCATTTGCCTCCTCTCCTGTCTGGTCTTATGAGGTGTGCACTTCGCTTTCTTTCAAAGCTTCCTAGACTCTTTCCAGCTTTGCTTGTTCAGAGGTTTCAGGCTACTTTTGGTAAGCATGAGTGCTGCAGGGGGTGGGGACATGGCCGCATGGCTTCAGGGACTTTTTTTTCCCCCCAAAGAAATTCTGATATGCTGCAGCTTCTCCAGTCTCTCTCCAGCCAGGAACTGTTGTGTTTTCAGGACCATGTTAATAGGACCATGTTAATCAGGTGAGTAGGTTATTATCCTGTAGGGGTTAGACCAGGGGAAGTTTTGGGTCTCTGAGTATAGCATTTAAACTACTCTGTCTTAGCCACTCTTGAATTTTATTTACAAGTAATTATTGTGGGCAAAGGGGAGTTAAATATCAGCACTTGGATGGGCTTCCCTTTCAGTATTTAATAGAGAAATATAAAGTCACTTGTTACAAAACTTTGCATATAAACAAGCTTCAAAGTTTGTCCCATAATTCCACTTTTGCTTTTGGAGATTGGGTACTTGTAAGCTCCAAGTCTCACAGCTGTAGATTTTGTTGGCCGAGTGCCTCTTTGCTCCATCTGAAGTTTTCCATAAACACCATTTTTGGCCGTGGGTCAAACATGCACACAGGTGCCCTTTTACTGCTCCTTCTCCTTAGGAAGTCTGCTCAGTCTGACCAGTCAGAAGCTAGCACTGAATTTTAATTTAATTTTTAGAAGAATCTTATTTAGGTTTACTACATTAAGGCAGAAACAAACATTTACTGCTTTGGGGGATGATATTTGTACGTGGTATACTACATATGTGTTTTAGCAGATTTTATATACCTTAGATTACTGTGATGTAAGAACATAGAATGTATAGGCAATATTAGTTTCCTCATAAAAGTCATTTATGGTATATAATAGAAAAGTGATTTAAAATTGATGGCTCCTTTACCTTTTGAAGATCATAGACACGTTTAAGACTCTGATGAAAGCCTTTGACCCTTTACCCTGAAAAACAAAGCATCCTTGGTTATAGACCTCCAGTTTAGGGTTTCACGGCCCTGAACTCACAGCCCTGAGCTCATCCCTTGACTGTAGGTTTAGGAATAGTTGCTTTACCTAGTCATGTTCAAGCCTCCCTGTTGATTGCCTCCCCAGAGATTTCAGGCAGCTTCTAGGTGTGTACCAGCAGACAGTGAGCATGAGGGCTGTAGGGGTGGGGACATGCTCCCATTGCTAGAGGGATTTTTTTTTTTTCTTTTTCAAAGAAATTCTCATATACTGTAGTCTTTCTGGTCTTAGCCAGAAACTGTGTTTTCCTGCATGCATTTGTGAACTGTTTCATTAGACTTATTTTTAAATCATCTTATGTATAAATTAATTTAAAATTTTTTTAAAAAAGAAGTCAACCAAAATGCTCAACTTTGTCATAGTGCTGACATATCACAGAAAGAAGAGTTTGATTTTGAATGCTGAAAAGGGTCATGTGGGTGGCCCTCATTTTAGCCTGGCCACCATAGAATGCTGGAATTATTAGACATGAAAAGAGCTTGAGATAGCATCTTTTAAACTGCCCACGAATAACTTTAATATTTGTCATTTATTTTAAGTTATATCAAAAATATACAAATTTTTTTTTGGGGGGGGATTCTTTTTGAGACAGGGTTTTCCTGTAGCCCTAGTTGGCCTGGAACTCCCAGAGATCCGCCTGCCTCTGCATCTAGTGCTGGGATTAAAGGTGTGCACCACCATGCCTGTCTGTGGTGGTGCACACCTTTAAAGTGGAGAATGGTTATCATTTACTTCTTTCATTTACTCTACATTTCACACCCTCTGTTAAATTGTGGTACATATATTTTTAAAGTCCAAATTATATAGGTATATTTTCTCTTTGACATTTCTACAAACTACTCAAATTTATACAACATGTATCTACTGTAATCAGGTTAGACTTTCTAAGGTATTTTAGAACAGTTCTTCAGACAATGTAATTTTTAGTTGTATTAGCAGCAGTTGTCAATATAATTAGATAGTGTTTACAGACATGTTTTTCTTACAGCTGATTTCTATTGAAGAAATTTGTCTTACGAATTTTTTTTCAGCAGTAAACATTTTGAAATTATTTCTGTGGAAATATTGGAACAGATTTCGTTTCGCCTATAGATCTTGACAGTCTGTTAGTAAGTTGTTTCATGTGTAGAAGATCTACTGCTCTTTTAGAGCTTGTCAGGATAAGTCCTAGATCTTCCTCTTTCTGTTTCAGTTTTTCTAGAATTTCTGGCTGCTTCCAGTGGGCTTAATAGTGAGTTAAACCACCAAGAATAATGTAGAGATAGATGGTTAGGAAGTCGAAGGCCTAGGTTCCATTTCTGATTCATGATTCAGCTATATGATATTGGGAAACCACCCCACAGGTATCCCTTTCCTCATAGGAACAATAGAGATGGTGAGGTTTAACTTAATCTCTTGTGGTTATTAAGAAGATCAGATGGACTATATCAGTGCATTGTATCAACTATAATGTATCAGGTCCTTTTATTTCCATGTGTGTCCCTGGACTGTGGGCCTGGAGGGCAGGTGCTGTTGTTTAAGTCTATCTTTAGAAATCCTGTTGTCTAGTTGTGTTTATTAATAGAAGAAACAGTCATGTTAACTTTTACTAGAGGTTTGAGTAAAATAGTCAAACTAACGATAAAGTAGTGCCATTTCTTTGGGGAAATATATGGTAGTGTAATAAAGTTTGACACAGTGGGCCTCAACACCCGGGACAGAGTATATGGGTTTCAGTGAGGGGCTGTGGGAGGGTGCTGGTAGAGATGGGGCTATAAAGATGATTCAGATTATTTGAAATATTCTGTATGAAGTACAACAAAATTTAATAAAAGCAAATTTTAAAAAAAGTTCAGAAGGACAAAATTAATATTTGGGGATAGAAGCTTACATTTGAAAGGGCTTATGCATGAAGATTGTTGAGCTGATTTTTTTTTTTTAACGCCCAAGGCAATAAATAAATTTATAGAATTGTTTCATGAGAACTTAGTGAATTACACATTTGTGATTTTTTTTTTTAATCTTTTTAAGACTGTTGAACCTTGGGGCTGGAGAGATGGTTTAGCAGTTAAGGGCATTGACTGCTCTTGCAGAGGGCCTGGGTTCGATTCTCAGCACCCACATGGCAGCTAACAACCATCCGTAACTCCAGTTCTGGGGGTCTGACACCCTCTTCTGTCCTCCTCGGGCATTGCAGGACATGGATGCACTTCACGAAGACATTACACTGATACACATTAAAAATTAAAATATTTAAAAAAAGAGTGTTAAACCTCAGAAGGTTTCTTGAAGGTGGAAGTAGCAGAGAATGAACACTTCTCACCTGGAAACAGCAGCAAACCCTGACAGGTGGCACTCCCACCTGCTTTCAGACATAGCGTTGTAAGAATTGTCATTTTGGGTTTCCTTGGTTTACCAGATAAGTAATATCTGAAAACATCCTATTATGGTTATTCATGCTTAATATTTGATATGTGAAAAAGCACATTGCACTTTTTAGAAATTGTTTTGTAGAAACAACCATTTAATGACAAACTTTAAACTCCTTTGTTACTGATTTGCACTAGAATTCATGTATGACAAATAACTTACCTCTCAGCTTCTGTGGACCACAAGTCAAGGAGTAGTTTAGTCTGTTGGTTAGGTGGTTTGGGCTCAGAGGACTCATGAGGCAGCAGTGAGTGTCTGCCTGCTCTTTAGTCATCTTAAGGATTTGGGGGCGTTGAGATCACTTTTAACCTTAGTTTATGGAGGCAGAGAGCCTCAGGTCTTTGTCATATGAACTTCTCCATAGGGCTGCCCAGCCGCATGGTTGCTGACCTTCTTCAGAGAAGGTATCCAAGGTAGAAGCCACAACGTTTTTTTTTGTCTTTTTTTGAGACAGGATCTCTCTGTAGTCCCAGCTGTCCTGGAACTCACTATGTAGAACAACCAGGCTGGCCTCAAACTCACAAAGATCTGCCTGCCTCTGCCTCCCAAGAGTTTAGGATTAAAGGCGTGCACCACCACACCCACTCAAAGCCACAACCTTTTAAAACTTTAGATTCAGAAGTGGCATTTCACCATTTCAAGTATATTCTAATTTTTGTTCATTTGGTCTGGTGCGTGCATGCTTGCGTGCGTGCGTGTTTGGACACGGTCTCCCTGTACCTCTGCCTCTTGAGTGCTGGGATTAAAGGTGTGCACCACCATGCCCAGTGCATATTCTACTTTTTAGCAATAAGTCAGCCTACCTTTAAGGGAAAGTATAACCCAGATACCAGCAGGCAGGGGTAGTTGGAGTCCTCTTAGAAATTGCTGACCACAGCAGAACAACTAGCAGTACTTTTCTCAACAGACAGAGCCCTTTTTCCCTTTTAAGAGTTAATGGTTTTTTTTGTTGTTGTTGTTGTTGTTGTTGTTGTTGTTGTTGTTGTTGTTTTGTCTGTTCCAGACAGGGTCTCTCTGTAGCCCTAGTTGGCCTCGAACTCACAAAAATCTGCCTACGTCTGCCTCCCACATACTGGGATTAAAAGAGTGCGCTACGATGCCCGACCCTAAGAATTCTTTATATTACATTTTTAATTTATATGTTGGGGTGGTAGAGGAGGTCAAAGGATAGCTTTAGGAAGTTGGTTCTCCTTCTACCACATGGGTCATGGAGGTGGTGGTGGTGGTGGTGGTGGTGGTGGTGGAACATAGGTTGTCAGGCATGATGGAAAGTGCCTTTACCCACTGAGCCCTCTCTCCAGCCCAATTCTATTATTAATAGAATAATATCTGGTGAGAGCCTAAAAACCACATGACAGCCCGCATGTTGAATTTCATTGCATATGTATAAAATGTAATTTAAGATGATAGGGAGAATATCCTCATCAGATTCCACTGTTTATATTTACTTTTTCCTTTTATTTAAACAAAAGAATTTAACATTGAGATAGAATGTGTACCTTTGCTGTAAACTGAGGTTTACATGTGTTTTGAATTTTCAACCAATGTTGAGATTTTTTTATTTCTATTTTTGGTATGCTGTTGGGAGCTGTATGGTAGCACTTGGGGTATACAATTAAATTTTTTTTTTTGCATAATTTAGAATTAGCTTGTCTTTTTTTTTTTTTTTTTTTTTTTTTTTCTCTACTAAACAAAAGGGTCATGTTTCCCCCCCCCAAATTAACCCAAGGCTAGTGGTTTATATTTATATTTTTTTTTTTTATTTATTTAAATTTATTTTTTTTTTTTTTTTTTTTTTTTTTTTTTTTCCCTTGCTTTCTTTTTCTTTGTCTTTTGTGTAGCCCTAGCTGGCCTGGAACTCACCATGTAGACCAGGCTGGCCTGGAACTCACAGATACATGCCTGCCTTTGCCTCCAGAGTGCTGGGATTAAAGACCACACCCCCGCAGAATTAGCTTGTGTTTTTAAAGTACCAATTTAGTTTACTTGGCCTAGGTCTTTTTTGTTGTTGTTGTTGTTTTTTAAAATCAATCACTAAAGTACCTCTCAAGACATTAAATTATTAAATTAGCTGGGTGTGGTAGCCAAGGCAGGTGGAACTCTGTGAGTCTGTGAGTTCCAGGCCAGCTAGGACTAGGGAGACCCTTTCTCAAAGAAAAAAAAAAGACATTAAATTAGACATGTCTGAGCTTTGAATTCTGTCCAAAGCAATTTGTTGTTTGCTTAACATGCTAGAGTAAAGGAGACATTACAACACAGCTATCACTTTTGAATAAAAGTGGTTAAAATGTATGCATTTCCTGATTAGGGAGAACGACCAGTACTGGTTGGTTAAATAAGTTAAGGTACATCATATAATGAAACATGGCATTTTAGAGAGTATATGCTGACTGGGAAAGATTGGCAAGATACACCATTAAGTATAGCAAGAGTATAAAACAAAGTGTAGAACATCCTCAAGGGTGTGTGTGTGTGTATGTGTGTAAGGAGAGAGAGAGATTGAGATTATGTGCCCATGGACAATTTTTGCTGAGTTTTATAAGGGGACTAGTGGTGGTTGGCAGTTCTAGGTATTAAGACTCTGGAGGTCTTATGTAGGAGGAAGATGAATTCATTTTTTATCATATGCCTTTTAAAATTGTATATATTTTTATTTAAAAAATAATTTTCCCAGTCTGTGAACATTCAACTTTAAGGGAAGTGTCTAATATTTATGTATATAGAGTTATTTTACTGATACTTTCTGAACATTGAAATGGACAGATTTAGGGAAAGCATGAAGTATGATTTGTTTCTCAAAATCGTTTCCGGTAAGGGCACATGCTTACTTACCATATTTTCTTATTTTGTTTATAGGAAGACCAAATTTTGAGGAAAGTGGACCATCATCTGTGGGGAGAAAGCATGAATTTATACGTTCAGAAAGTGAAAATTGGCGCATTTTTAGAGAGGAACAAAATGGAGAAGATGAAGATGGAGGTTGGCGACTAGCTGGATCAAGAAGGGATGGAGAGAGGTGGCGGCCTCATAGTCCTGGTAAGAATTGTGTTGTATAAAAGCAAAGGAACTAAAATGAGAATGTGAAAATGTTTGGGATTAAATTGAAAAGGTAAACAGTTTAAAAAAAAAAAAAGATCACTTATACAATCATACTCAATCTTATTACTATAAAAAATTCCAACAGAACAATTCCCCAACACATCTACTTAGTTGATTAAAATCGCTTTTCTGTTTTCCTGGGGCAAATAGTATGGTTTAATAAGAAGCACCTGCCTGTAACTGCAAACAAGAGAGGATTTCATTCAGTTTTGTCTAACTCTTAATCGTTTAATCTATCAGTAGCATTCTTTAAAACTTAAAATAGGGGGCATTGGAAAAAGAAATAAAACCTCACAAATGTATAATTGCACATTTGGAATATGTGTCCTCCCCATAAATAGGTGTTTTTCTTGAATAAGAAAGGATTCTTTCTTTTTTTTTTCCCCCCCTTGAAAATACGATTTTTGGCTCATTTGAAGAATGAACTTTAAACTTGGGTCAGAGATAATCACAAGTTCTTTTGCCTTTCTGACCTTAGAAAAAGGAGAGAGAACAGCAATGATTAGTAAATTTTTAAGTTCTTTTGTTGAACTCTTAATGCTTCAAACTCTCCTTGGCTATTAGCTGTGCTAGTATTGAAGACACTCGTGCTTTGCATTAATTAAGCTCATTCCCTACAACTCCTGATTCCATGCCTCATGATAATCAGATGCAACTGTAACTTGAATCATAGGGTTATGCAGAACAGAGAACATTGTGTGTTTCCATGTGAAATTCATGTTCATAATAATGTTTTATCAACCATATGCCAGACACTTACCTTAATAGAGGAAATTATAGCGATGTAAACATTTTTCATTTTTTAAAGTCAAGTTGTCAGCCAAACTAGTCTAGTTTGAGTACACACAGTAGCAGGCGTTTAGTTTTCTATAGGGTGGTAGGTAGGTAAAAACATGAGATTGACCTTTGGATAAAAGTATGATGTGTTTAGACCAGTTTTTCGTAGCTGCCTTTTGGACAGGTTTTGTATCATGAGTGGGCATTATTTATGTCATAGGATCTAGGCAGTTCTCATTAGTCTGTGTCCTAGGCAACCAAGTGTCATAGTTCTCTTCAAGACATTGAGGCATTTTTGCTGAACTTGCCTGTAAGGAAAAGGGTTTTGTTAGACTTATGTTCTCAACAAGCAGTCAGTGAAGAATGGACAGAATCTGGGCTGAAGGAGAAGAGAAATTCCAGCTGGTCAAGAACAGACAAGGTGAATGCTTTGGAAGGCAAATAGTGTTTCTGAGCCCAAACGTGTGCTGTTGTCTGTGAAGGGAGCTGAGCAAACTTCTAGTGTTACCTTCTGTTGTTCACCTTATCCCTAGCACCTTACCGTTTGGTTATGGAGTGTTTTCTTTGTCTTCTCTAAATCTTTCTCCATTTGTCTTTCATATTAACTTTGTCATCAACTCGACAAGCTTCCATATTTGTGTACGTGTATGTATTTTTAAAAGCTATTTAGGGGATATAAAGATAAAAGATCTGAAAAAACCTTTCGATTGCATTTAAAAAGCATTCACCCTTTAACCTAGCATATTGAAAGTTTAGTCTGAGTATTGAGTTGATACAGATTAACTTTTAACTCTTTTAGTTAATCTTTTATTAGGATAGTAGGAAACTTTTAAATAAGTTTTTTTGGACTGATTTATCTTGTGAAAATGTCTAATTTTTTTCCAGATATAAGAGATATAAAGCAGTGGCAAGCCTTAACTAGTTGTCTGCCTTCCCTGTTGCATTTAGTTTCATGAATAAAATTTTACTATTCTTGATAAGACAACTTCATTATGGGATGTAGTTTTATTAAAGTGGGGCTCACAGTTGGATACAGCTGGAGATAGGACTTGGTGGACACTGAAGCCTCCACTCCAGTAGATGAGCTTAGGAAACCCAGTAAGAGGGAAACAGGAGCTGAGTGCCTAGAAGGATAGATTCCTATCACTGCATACTTAGACTGTTCAGAAACGATAACAGTAGACAGAGGATTCTGGAATTCCAACATTTGATCATGAAGGCTCCTTTTGAGTAAAGGCTGTAGGTGTACATTTAAACAATGTGTGCATAAAAATTCCTTCCCCAAGAAGGTTTTAAAGAGTGGAAGGGAAATGTGGGAATAGTATCTTTTTATGAGCATTTTATAAGATGTGACTTGTGCTTGGCTTCTTAATGTTTTGCTCAGATTGCAGGCTCTAGCAAATTTGGCCACAGGAGTAAGAATGTTTCACTTTAGCCTCATTTTGCTTTTTGCTTTGGTGCGTGTACATCTCAATAGACCAGACAATCAAGAACAGAAGATTCTTGTAGCTTAAAAAAAAACCTACCTTTTCTATGCCAGGCGTGGTGGCATGCACCTTTAATCCCAGCCCTCAGGAGGCAGAGGAAGGTAGATCTCTTTGAGATCCAGGCCACCCTGGTCCACATTGTGACTTCTAGGTGGGTTGGGACTATGGAGACCCTGTCAAAAAATAAGCAACAACAACAAACAAAAAAATAAAAATAAAAAACTTACCTTTCTTTAGGACTCTCAGATGTAGGTTTGATGTTTTAACAAGAAGTCTCCCCCCACCCTCCCCTTTTTTAAAAAGAGTATTTCAGTTTTAGAAAAATACCTTAAGTAGGCTCCTCTATTTGAGCAGTCCTTTTCTGTTGGAAAGTAGATTCAAGAAATAGTATGCTAGGGTGGATTTAGGAATTCCCCTGGGGGCGCAATACAGGAAGAAAAAAGAGATAGGACTGGAAAGGAGAGCAAGTGTACTATTGTGGAAAGAGCAGCGGAAGATGCAGACTTGGACCTCCCTCTGCCATTGCACTAGTGACTTCTGCTGTCTGAGTTTTAGTTTGTTGTTCTGTGAAATTAGGATACTGGGCTGTACAATCTCTTGCATCTTAATCTATTAATGCTGTAATTTTCGTGATTTTAGTTGTTGTTGGGAATCACAATTGCATATGAGAACTTAGCACTAGTAAATAGGCATGATGAGTTTGATATTATGACTTGACCTAGGGAGATGATCTGATTCATAAAGTGCTGTTTTCATGAGAAGAAAGAAAATGTTTTAATACCCGCTAAACAAGAAGCATAAGCTTCACTGTAGAATGATATCCAGTGCTGTAAGTCTTGGCTAGGAGTACAAGCAGCTAATCAGTACTCTTAATTGTATACCTAAAGTATCTGTACTTTGGATTAAGTGTCCTTTCAGTGTGCTTTGTTTTAAATTTATCTTCTAAAGTTTGACTCTGTCACATGCTCAGTACACAGTGAAGGTAAACCCTGTAGTCGCTTAGTGATAGTGCACTGAGTGCTGGACTTCAGTTTGCCTGATTTTCTCTTTAGCTGATCCATTTGCATTTGCTTAGTTGTAGTTGTCTCTATTTCCTGTCCATGATTTTCTTTTTCAAATGCTGTCATGAACCTTCCCTAAGGTTTCTATCCTCCTCAACTCAGATGGCCCTCGTTCTACAGGCTGGCGGGAACACATGGAACGCCGCAGAAGGTTTGAGTTTGATTTTCGAGATCGAGATGATGAGCGGGGTTACCGAAGGGTGCGCTCTGGCAGTGGGAGCATAGATGATGACAGGGATAGCTTGCCTGAATGGTGTTTAGAGGATGCTGAAGAAGAAATGGGCACGTTTGACTCATCTGGAGCATTCCTCTCTCTAAAAGTAAGAAATTTATTTTTTAAATGTCATCACAGACACTTGATACCAAAGCCACATATGCTGTTGACCTTTGATTTTATTTTCTTGCTACAGAAAGTACAGAAAGAACCGATTCCCGAAGAGCAGGAAATGGACTTCAGGCCTGTAGAGGAAGGGGAAGTGTGTTCTGACTCTGAGGGTAGCCATAATGAAGAGGCCAAAGAACCTGATAAGAAGGAAGGAGAGAAGACAGGTAGAGCCAGAGCTGGTAAAGTCCTTTTTTGTCTGCCTCAACCCCCTCATACCAAAGCTTTCCTGAATTCACTCAAGATCACTTTGTGTTCTAGAAGCTAGCCAGGAAGCACCTCAAACTTCATCATCATCCGTTAGACCGGGTACTCCTTCAGACCATCAGCCCCAGGAGGTTCCACAGTTTGAGAGGAAAGATGAACCCAAAGCTGAGCAACTGGAAGATGCCGAAGAGGAAAGTCGGACAGAAAACAGTCTGCCAGCCAAGGTCCCTAGCAGAGTGGATGGTATGTATTTGTGAGAGCAGACACTCACTCACAGGCTAGGCCTGTGGTCACTCGTGTGATAGCTTTCACTTAAGCCTCCTGGAACTGCTTTTACTGAATGAATTACTGGAATGCATTGTTGTGCCAGTAGATATAGTCAAACAGTGTGTTCCTCATGTTTAGCAATCTCAAAATGTATGAAAATGGTTAAAAACTGCAAGGGTGGAAATCAGGCCCTCACTTCCTAAGGTAGGATCGCTGCCTTGCCAGCACTTGTGAGTTTGGGTTCAGATCTTCTGCATTGGTTTGATGCCTGTAGTAGACAGTTGCCTTTCTTTCAAGTATTTCTAGACTCAGCTTCTCTCTAAAATTCCCCTGTCCCAAAAGAGACCAAAAAGAGCACAAGGGAAACGAAGTCATCACCGTTGCCACAAAACAAGTTTGTGTGCACTTTCTGTAGTATTACTCTTCTGTGTTAACTGCTCACACCTTTAAAACTATTAATGTTTATTTCCATGAGCATGCTTGTAAATACTTTAAAATGATATCGCTGTGTCCTAAGTCCAGGGGTTGTTTTATTCCCCATAAAAACGTACACTCTGTAACATGGCCTGCTGGACTTACATGCTCTGGGGTTTGTTCTCTTCTTGCAGTTTCAGCATCATTCTGTCTCTTTCACACTGTACTCATCAGCCTCAAAACTTTTAAGGTCTTGATTGTGCCTTGTGTTTTGTGTTCATTCTTCTCTGTGTATCTGAAACTTTATTCCTTTTAACTAGATTGTTGTATTCTCCTACTTCTTTTTCTTTTTAAATATTTTATTGTTTATTTTTATTTCATGTGTATGAGTGTATTTCCTGCATGTATGTAAGTGCACTCGTGTTGTGCAATGCCTGAGGAGGGCAGTAAAGGCCCTCCTCCTGGAACTGGAGCTGTGGATGGGTTGTTGGCTAACATGTGGGTGCTGGGAACTGAACCCAGATCCTCTGCAAGAACAGTGTGTTCTTAACTGCTGGATCATTTCTCCAGCTCCTAGTTTCCTGTTTCTTAAAATAACCAACACTGTTATATGTTTCATAACATTAACCATATTATATATACCTAACAATATTATAAAGATCTGGTTTTGTTTTTGTCTATCCCTGATAGACTAACACATTGAGGACTGAAACCAAAAATACCTTTTCAGCTTTTTATGTGTAGAATAAACCGAACAAATTAACAAATATTTGTATCTATACATTTGCACGGAGACAGGGCCTCATTGTATACTCCTGGCCGGCCTGGAACTTGTTAGGTAGACAGGCTGGCTTCCAACTCAGAGATCCACCTGCTTCTGCCTCCTGAGTGCTGGGATTATAGAGGTAGGCCACCACGTAGGGCCCTTAAAGAAAAGTATTAACCTTTACCAGTTTCATACATTATACAATGTATCTTGATCATAGCCACCTCTCACTCTCTCACCCTACCCCTATCCTATTTCCCCCTGACCACTCCCAACGGCCCCTTCCCCCACTGAGTTCAATTAGTGTCACCTTTCGCCTTTCATTCACATATGTGGGGCCACCCGCTGGAGAATGGGCATTATACCAGCAGCCATGCACCCTAAGGAAAATAAGACTTCTTCCATCAGTTGCCAGTAACTTCTCAGATGGGGGTAGGACTTACATCTCTTAAGACCTATTTTAGAGTTTGGTCTAGACAAGTATAGTTTAAGAACACTTCATAGATGTGTATTAAAGGTTGACATTCCAGATGTTCAGTCTGGAGTTAAATCATGTGCTTATCAAGAACCCAGAACAAAAATAGTAAGACTTCACAATTAGCAGACTCTTGGGATACTTCAGGAGTTTGGTAGTATTTGAAGAAAACCTTGGAATAGTAAGTAGAATCTGGTGGTATGGATGCATAGCAGGGTTAATTGGGAGAGAACATTCTAGTACCAAGGAACAATGAATGTATTAAGTGAGGAAATGGGACTGATTGAGTCATGAGCAAGAATTAGTTGCCGCCATTGCTGCTTTTCCTCCTCCTTGATGTCCTCCTAAGTTTTATTACATTTATTCTCCACACAGCTTGTTGAGGCACTTTTCTCCTTCTACCATATAGGTCCTGGGGATCGAGCCCATGCCATCAAACTATGGACCCATCTTGCCATCTCTGTAGTTCCTTTTTTGTCTTTTTGAGACAGGGTCTCTCTGTAGCCCTAGCTGTCCTGGAACTCACTATGTAGACCAGGCTGGCCTTGAACTCACAGAGGTCCTCCTGCCTCTGCCTCCCAAGTGCTGGGACTGCAGGTGTGCGCCACCATGCATGGCAGTTCCCCCTTTTTTTTAGGAAAAAAAAAAAAAGATAATATGAGTTGTGGTGAGGTTGGTGCGAAACATGGTTGGAACTTAGATTTGGCAGCTTTGTTTGGGGAATGTTATGAAGATGGGCTGCTCTGTGACCTGATGAACTGAGCAGTCACAATGAGGTGTAAGCACAGGGGATGTAGTGGCAGATGAGGTTTTGTTTAGACTTGACAGACTTCATTATTGCCTATATATTAGGATGGATAGAGGCAAAGATGCCTAAGGTAGTTGAGAGGATTATGGTGCCAAAAAGAGTGGAAACTGGCCGGGCGTGGTGGCGCACGCCTTTAATCCCAGCACTCAGGAGGCAGAGGCAGGGGGGCCTCTGTGAGTTCAAGGACAGCCTGGTCTACATAGTGAGTTCCAGGACAGCTGGGGCTACAGGCTACAGGGAGACCCTGTCTCAAAAAGACCAGGAAGGAAAAAAAAAAAAAAAAAAAAAAAAGAGTGGAAGCTGAAGAGCCCATTTGGGAGAGGAATGATTAACTTGAGTTTTGTACATTGGCTCTGAAACATTAATGAGAAGTGAAGGTGGCTAGAAAACAGTTGTGACTGAGCTGACTACAGCTGGATGACGATAATTTAGAGCCAGAAAGATAATAAGAATTTAAAGTTTAGTTGGGCATGGTGATGCACTCCTGTGATCCCAGAAATTGCAAAATGGAGGGCAGGGCGACCAAGAGTTTGAAGCCAATGGGCTAAGTAGTAAGACTGTCTCAAAAACAAAGTGAAAAGTGTAGTAACAAAACTGTACAGTTGTGGGGGTGGGAAGGAAGAGTAAAAACAGAACCCTAGATAATTCCTAGTTTTGTGGGTAAATGAGGGGAGCCAGAGAAATTACTTGAGAGGCAAAAAGAATAGCCAAGAAGAACAGAGTGCAGGAGGAGCAGTTCAGCTTAGGATTGGGCAGGCAGCGTAAGATACTACAGAGACAAGCTGATGAGGGCGAAGGAAAGTCAATTCAGTTTTGTAGTTTTGTGTCACTATATCTTCGAGAGAGGCATTTTGCTAGAGAAGGGTGAGTGGAAGTCATGTCTGTCATGTAGTAAGTGGTGAGGTAGAGACAGCCTGTGTAGACTGTCCTTCAAGAAAGCTTTGCAAACTGGGCACTTGGGAAGCAGAGGCAAGTGCATCTCTGTGAGTTTGAGGCCATCTTGGTGTACATGGCAAGTTCTAGACCATCTTGAGGACACAGGGAGACCCTGTCTCAAAAAAAACCAAAAAACAAAAAAACACAGTTTGGCAGATTATAAGAGGAGCAAGCATTTGAAGAGCTCTGTAATTTTACAGCCAAGGTTTTAAAGTAGAAACTGCAGTTTTATTTGGTTACATCAACCTCCATGCTACCCTGCCCTTTCCTTACAAGCCTACATACCAAGAGGTTAGAACTAGGAAACAAGGCAGAACCACTTTTACAATTTTTAATCTTGAGGAAAAACATGCTGTACTGTTGAGAGACTCTTAAATAAACGTTTATTAATTATCATTTGAAATAGGTACTTACATTTTTGCAGATATTTTCAATATGTATTTTGATGAGATGTCATGTCTAAGAAACTGAGTTGCCTTAACTGTCTTTTACCATTAGAAATGTATTATAAGGAAAAGATGCGACTGATTATTGCCACTATTAGATAGATGCTATAGTGACAGGCACTATAGAAAGGCCTTTTAGAGACCATAAGCTCTTCTGTCATTCTACGAGCAGGCCACTCAAGTTAACAGTGTAGAGTTAACCTTCATAAGTCTCCGAATGTCCAAGGATGTTTACTACTCTAAATTCTTTGCTTTTAGAAATGGTGCCTGACCCCCAGCAGCCCTTGACGCAGCTCCCTCCAGACACAGCCTCTCCTCTTCTCATCCTTCCACCTCCTGTTCCCATTCCTAGTTCTGTCCTACGGCCAGTTGAGGCAACAGCCATTGGTGCTCCTGGCATGGGCAGTAGTTCCACAGAGCCAGATGATGAAGAGGGTCTCAAGCACTTGGAGCAGGTAAATTCACGTTCTTTCTCATCTATCAAATCTTTAAGTGAATATTCAGATATAGAACTTTTTTGCTTTAGATTTTAAGTACTGGAAAAATTATTTGGTTATTTAATATTTGTATGAGTAATTGTCTTTCAGATCATTTCATGCTTATAAGTTTCTGCTATGTAGTAGTCATTATGTCAGGTTATTTTTTGCTCTTCTGAGATTGCCCTGAGCTGTTTACTTTTCTTTTCTTTTTGGACATTAACAGAATACTAAAAATGGTGAATACAAGCAGCTGTGGATTGTCACCGTGTCTTCTGTGTTTTTGGTTTTGTGGTTTTTTTTTTTTTTTTTTTTTTTTCGGTTTTTTGGAAGCAGGGTCTCCCTATAGCCCTAGCTGTCCTGGAACTCACTATGTAGACCAGGCTGGCCTTGAACTCACAGAGATCCGCCTGCCTCTGCCTCCCAAATGCTGGGATTAAAGGCGTGCGCCACCACACCCAGCGATAACTTACTTTTTACAAAAGAGTTTGTCTTTCCTTTGGGGTGGCATGGATAGAGACAGGAAATGTAGAAGGGTGGTAGTACATTAGTAAAACTTGTAAGACATTTTCTTTGTAATTTATTGGGCCTTTTGTTCTATTAACATCTTTGTATAAACAGACAAGTTTGTTAATAAAATTTAGACTAGGCCAACAGTGTATTCACTTGATGGAGTGATAGAAAGCTTGAGCTTTGATCCATACCAGTTTGTATTTTAGATTCATTGGTTTGCTTGATAATTTCAAGACCTTGGTCAAGACTTGATGTGCTTGAACCAAAATTTCTTTTTCTGTAAAATGGGACTAGTACCTGGCATTATTGATAAGATGGGCACATTCAGGGTGATATGGTCATATGGCATTATTGAGAAAGTCAGGTTGTTAACTTTTGTGTTCTTTGGGTAGTGTCTTTTATAGGTCAAGTAGTCCAAAAACAGTAAACATTATTGTTACATGTGTATTAATTGAGAATCATTTGTTTCTGTCATCTGTTTTTATTTTTCTGTTATTAGCAAGCTGAGAAGATGGTGGCGTATCTCCAAGATAGTGCACTAGATGATGAAAGACTGGCATCAAAACTGCGAGAGCACAGAGCTAAGGGAGTGTCAGGTCCACTGATGCATGAGGCCATGCAGAAGTGGTACTACAAAGATCCTCAGGGAGAAGTACAAGGTTAGTGGTTCACTGTTACTTTGAATACTGACGTACCTGTGTTATCTTCAGAACCTCCTAAGAAGGGATTTGTTTGATGTTTACATAGTTGTAGAAAAAGAAGTCAAAAGACTTGATAATTGTGAAGCCAAAAACAGGAAAATGATTTAAACACATGTAGAATGTGATGACTAAAATGAAAGTGGTGTAAGCACAGTACTTTGTACTATCTCAGCTCCAAGATCCCAGCTGGGAAGAGGCAGGTAAGTTACTCATCATACCTGAGCTTCAGTATCGCAGACCATCAGAAGTGATGGCAGCAGTGTTGGAAGACTTTAAGGCTTGGTATAAACAACAGGTAGCTACTAAACATGACTAAGAAAAGACAATATAATATTACAAATGAATCCCTTAAAGATTTGGATTGTGTATAAGTTAAATTAGAGGAAAGAATGCTGTAAAAAAATACTTGTGGTTTCATTTGTGCCTTTAAAAATCTTTGCTTGATACCTGAAATTGGTTATTGGTGTATATGAGTGTCAGTTTCAGCCTAGGATTTACTTCCTGGATATATTTGGTAATCTCTTTCCAGCATATTAACTTATTTCCCACTTTCAGTCCTGCTCCCTGTCTTCCTTTCCTTCATAATATTTACTACTGTTCTTGTATAGATTTGTTCATTGTTTCCATTTCAGTGTAATGTTTAGATACCTGAGAACAGAGCCTTTTGCATATGTGCATTTTAACTAAATTAATCTTGTTGGGATAAGTGTAGCTTCCATGCAGCTGGCTTTCATTCACTTCTCTTGGTGAAACTGTTCAATAGCACAACCAGGATGTTGATGTCACCACAGTTTAGATTCAGAATCTTTCCATTTTAGCAGGAATGTTGCCATATTGTTGTCACATCCATTTCCCCTTTCCCTACACTCCTTTGTTAGCTTCTGGTAACCAGTAATCTATGTTAGAATTTTACACCTTATCATTTTAAAAATGTCATATAAGCCAGGCGTGGTGGCTCACACCTGTAGTCCCAGCACTTGGGAGACAGACACAGGCAGATCTCTGTGAGTTCAAGGCCAGCCTGGTCTACATAGTGAGTTCTAGGACAGCTTGGGCTACAGGGAGACCCTGTCTCAGAAAGACCAAAAAAAAAAAAAAGTTATATAAATAGGGTCATACAATGTATAATTTTTGGTGGGAAGTGGCTCAATTCATTCAGCATAATCTTTTGGTGATTCATCCAGGTGGTTTTATATATTAGTAGCTTTTTTCTTTTTATTACTGAGTAATATTGGATGATATCAATGTATTATAGTTTAACCATCCATGAAGGACATGTGGGTTGTTCTGATTTTTGGCTGTTATAAATAAAACTCCTGTAAACATTATGGGCAGATTTTTGTGTGAAAGTGTGTCATTCCAGTAAAAATACTTAGGAGTACAATTACTAGGTGGACTTGGAGTTGCATGTTTAGCTTAAGAAGCTGCCTCTAGAGCACCTTTAAATCCCTGCATTTGGGAAGCAGATCAGGATAGATTATGAGAGTTCCAGACCAGCCTGGTCTACATAGCAAGTTCCTGATCAACCAGGGCTTCATAGAAAGACCCTGTCTAAAAAAGAAAAATTCTAACAGGTATGTAGTAATACATAGTGCGGTTCAGTATCTCCAGTAGCCCAGGCTGGCATTGAACTTGTGAGCCTCCTACCCCAACCTCCAGAATCCTGGGATTATGGATGTGTGCTTCAATACCTGGTCTTTGTAGTTTTGATTTGCAAATACTGATGTGTTGAGCTTCTTCCTTTGCTAATTGGCCATTTGTATGTCTATTTTTTAACTGGGAGTTTTTCCTTTTCTCACTCCCACCCCCTTTGAGACGGTGTCTTGTCATATTCTGCATAGCGATCTCATGCTTCTAGGTTGAAGTGATCTCCCTGTCCCAGCCTCCCTTGTCGGTAGGTATAAAACTAATAGAAATCGTTCTGCCAAACATGGTGATGTATATTTGGTGATAGATCCTTGTCTTTGTTTAAAGAAAATCTTATTTGGGGCTGGAAAGATGGCTTAGCAGTTAAGAGCTCTGGCTGCTCTTGCACAGGACCCTGGTTCAATTCCCAGCACCCACATGGCGGCTGATAACTGCCTGTAACTCCAGTTCCAGGGGATCCAACACCCTCGTCTGACCTCCCTGAACATTGCATGACGTACATGCAAGCAATACACTCATATGCATTTACAAAAACTAAAAAACTTATTATCAGTTTTGTATGCGTGTGTATGAGGTCAGAGGGCAGCTCTGGAGTTCCACCTTTACTTGGGTTCCAGGAATCAAACTCAGGTTACCAGGCTTATATGGCAAGTACCTCTACCTACTGAGCCTTCCTGCTGCCTCTAGATCCTTGTCTTGTTCTGATATTAAAATACTTTGTGTTTTTCTTAGAATATGATGTTTGCTATGAGTTTTTTCACAGATAGCATTATATGTTGAAGAATCTATTCCTAGTTTATTGACCTTTTTTTTTTTTCTTAATTTTTATATTTACTGATATATTTTGTGTTGTGGGCACACACATGTGGAGGTCAGAAGACAACAGGAGTTGATTCTCTCCTTCAACCATGGATCACTCTCAAGTTGTCAAGGTTTGGCAGCAAGCACCTTTACCACTGAGCCATCCATCTCACCAGCCTGACATTTTATGTATTTATTTTTTTATAAATATGAAAGTGTGTTGAGTTTTGTCAAAGGCTTCTGCATCAATTGAGATCATTATGTGCCTAATCCCCTTATTCTCTAATGTGGAATATTATATTTGAGAGTTTTTTTTTCCCTTCTCCCAAGTTTTGCAATATCAAGCATGTACCACTACGCCCAATTTACTGATGAATTTTCATATGTTGAGCCATCCTTGCATTCCAGAAATAAATTGTACTTGGTCATGCTGTATACTTCTCTTTTACCCATGGATTATTTGGAAGTGCTTTTAGCTTCCTAGTGTATAGAGATTTACATATTTTGATTCTGTGGTGATTAAAGGACATACTGTATATGGTTTTAATTTAAAAAGAAATTTAGGTTTTTGCCAGGCGTGGTGGTGCATTCCTTTAATCCCAGCACAAGACAAAGGCAGGTCGCCCTCTTTGAATTTGAGGCCAACCTAGTTTACATAGGGAGTTCCGGGCCAGCTGGGGCTACAGGGAGACACTGTCTCAAACAAACTTTTTGTCAGGTGCAGTAGTACATGCTGAGGCAGAGGCAGGTGGATCTCTGTGAGACTGAGGTCAGCCTGGTCTCCATAGCGAGTTTCAGGCCAGCTGGTGCCCTAGGGAGACCCTATCCCAGAAAGATGAAGAATCAACAGCAACAACAATAACAACAACAAAAAAAAAAAAAAAAAAAAAAAAAAAAAAAAAGTAATATATGGGGCTGGAGAGGTAGCTCAGTGTTTAAGAGCACTGGCCACTCTTATAGAGGACCCAGGTTTAATTGCCAGCACCCACATGGTGGCTAATAACCATCTGTACTCCAGTTCCAGGGTATCTGATGCCACCTCTGTGGGCATTGCATGCCATGGGTGCTTTTACATACACTCATAAAAATAAGATTATTTTTTTAATGTCAGTCAGGCATAGTGATACACACCTTTCATCCGAGCGCTTGGGAGGCAGAGGCAGGTGGATCTCTGTAAGATCAAGGCCAGCCTGTTATACAGAGCATGTTTTAGACTAGCTGGGCCTACAGGGAGACCAAATCTCAAATAAATAAATAAATTTTAAAAGAATGTTCAAAATACATTTGATTAGTTCATATATTCTGTGGGGTTTTAGATATACTTGATTATTTCTTACTATAAAACTGTAAAATCTGCAGTTTTTCAAGGCCAGATTTAGTCTTAACTGTATAAATGAATTGTAATTTGCCTTACTCAATTGCTGATTGCTTGTATTTTATCTTACATTTTATCCCACCTTTGCTAATGTCCAACAGAATATAATAAAGATCAGAGAATGTATTGAACATCAACCATTTATATTCTCTGTGACTCGGGTGACACAAAGCCAACAAGTACTTACTCTTTTCAGTTGTATCTTATTTCCTGACAAAGGAGTTGTTTCAGAGATTGAGACAGAGATAGTCATGCTACTTACAGTAATTAAAATACTGCTGACAACTCAAGGTGTATAAAAGTAGGGCTTGGTTAGAGATGTAGTTTAGCAGTACAGCACTTGCCATGTGAGCAAGGCCTGGGTTTGATATCCAGCAATGTGAAACAAGCAAAAACTCCCATTTCAGGTTTCAAACAGAAACCTGTTTGTCACTGTGGAGGTAAATTAAGATACTATAAAATTTTGTAAGAACACAAGACCCATATGTTTGAGCATCACAGGATTCTTATTTCCCTTATATTTAGGTCCCTTCAATAATCAGGAGATGGCAGAATGGTTTCAGGCAGGCTATTTTACTATGTCTTTGCTGGTGAAGAGAGCATGTGATGAAAGCTTCCAGCCTCTTGGTGACATCATGAAAATGTGGGGAAGGGTTCCTTTCTCTCCAGGCCCAGCTCCCCCTCCTCATATGGTGAGTATCTTGTGGCTGGCCTGGAATACTTTTTAGACAGAGGGTTATTTGTTTCTCTTTGAATGATAACCTAATGTTGCTGTCAAAGTGGGAGGAAAGTTAGCTTCTTTTTTCTTTCTTTCTTTGAGAAAAGGTCTTGCTCTGTAGTCTTGGCTGGCCTAGAACTCACTGTATAGGACCAGGTTAGCCCCATACTTGTGATTCTCCTGCCTCTGTCATCAGTGCTGGGATTACAGGCATGAGCCACCATCCCCAACCTGGTAGTTTCATAGAAAGAAATTGAAATGCTACTGGCATTCTGAATGGGAGACTTGTATCTTGAACTTAAGATAATGACCTTTCCAAAGCCTGCATGTACGTGTATATGTACATGCACATGCAAATACTAAATAGAATTCTTCACTGGTTTTCTAGCAGATGAAGAATGAGGACTGGTCGCTTAACTACTAGGTCCTTCATGGTCTGGCACCTTCCTCTTTGATGCTCATGTAAAAGCGTTCTTATCTGCAGTGCTTCAACACGTTTGACCTCTGAGCTCCTGGTTGTTACTACTTACAGTACACATTCCCATACTGGGCATGGTGGTGCACGCTTTTAATCCCAGCACTCAGGAGGCAGAGGCAGATGAATCTTTGTGAATTCAAGGCCAGACTGGTCTACATAATGAGTTCAAGGCCAGCTGGGCCTACAGAAAGACCCTGTCCCCAAAAAACAAAACAAAACACACCAGAATGCACATTCTCCTCCTCTCAGCCATTTCCTTCCTATTTTCTGGCTCATAAAAGTTCTTAAATTTGAAGTTTATCCTAAGATGACCGCCACAGATGCTAAGGATATTTTGCGAGCTTAAACCTTTGGCTGGGGAATCCTTTGTCTTGAGGCTGCCACTGGCCTTTCGCAATAGAGTTGCTGTTGGAGGTCTCTGGATATGTATCTAGCCTTTCCATCTCTAGGTTGATACAAATGATGGTAGTCATACATAAACGTGACGGTAGACAGAAACCTTTAATGTGAATGTGGGATTTCTGCAGGATTTCTGCAATAACTCACCATTGACTTAACTACACTAGTTATCAACTGTATTTTGAAGGCCAGTGCCCTGTGACAAGGTTCTTAAGGGGTGAAGACGAGTATGACGCAGTCTCTGTCATCAACAAGTTCTGTAGGCAAACTCACTGACAGCCATCCTCTCTTCCATGACTCATGCATTCCTGTGTGAGAATTGTTCCTTTGTTCTAGTTGATTTAAATCCAGAGAACAATTTTAGTATATCACTACTTACAGATTTAATTTGCATAACTATTTGAGCCTTATTTCCTGTGCTTAGAATTAAGATAGTTTTTGTCTTATCATGTGTCAGGAGCTAAAGGGATGTTTTTACCCCAGTCCATTTCCCAATTTGGGTTACAAGGGCCATGCCTTAATCATACCTATTCAATGGAAAAACTGTGGGAAACTCTCCTTACTCATTAACTATTGCCTTTGTCTTGAGTAGCATTGATACAAAGAAAGAAGAAAGCTTACCTTTATAAGTAATAGTTCTTAAAACCTAGGTTTCATGTAAATGTTTTGAATAGATCTAGAGTAGCTTTACTCTGTGGTGTTTAATGGCAAAGAAAACTGTCTGAATTTCAGATGATTCCTGCCCTAAAGCATTGTATATCAAGTGGTTTTTTTTTTTTGGAAACTATTATCAGTTTATAAGAAACATACAAACTATACATACATGATTTACCTAGTCTGTGGCATCCTTATTTATATATATATTTTTTTTTTAGTCTTTGAGACAAGGTCTTCCTGTAGCTCCAGCTGGCCTAGAACTTGCTAAGTAGACCAGGCTGACCTGGAACTCACAGATATCTGCCTGCTTTACTGCCTGAGTGCTGGCACTAAAGGCGTGTGCCACCATGCCTGGCTTTATTTCTATTATTATAAACCTTACATTTTTCTTTTCTCAGTTTTAACCTTACAAAATTAAAATTCTAGCCATATTACTTGAAATAAAAGCTGAAAATTAAGGGAAATACTATAGGCTATGTTTTCTAATTTCCAATGTATTAATATAGTGATAAAAACACCTAATTGGAGAGACTAATTCTCAAAGTTCGTTTCATATTTTCAATGTTTTAAGATATGTTTTCTAGCTTTATGTGTTATGTGCTACTACAAAATTCTTTAGCATTTTATGAACTGTTAGATAATCTCAGTCTTTTCTGTATTCTTTCCCTCTGATTTCTCTATGATCTTTAAGTCACTCTCAAGATTTGGAGTGCTAGGTAAAATTTTCAGTTACAGTAACATCTCTGTAGGAACATTGTTCAAGCATTCAGCTTGAAGTAGCAGAGGACAGCAGCCTGGTAAGGACCCTGTCTGACCTTGGGAATTGCTTACAATGGAGAGATCACCATATTCCACTAGGTGGCATTGTGTAGTTTTTAAAGATGCTGGGGCTTTTAGTTAAGGGTTTGAGCTTAAAAGTATGGAGCTTGGAGATAAAGGCCTTGGGTTTACTGTGCTGCTGTCAAATGCATATACTAAGTGGCTTTCAGGTTCTTTGCAATTTATTTAATGGTGCTTCTTTCTGTACCTTTTTACTCTCAGGGAGAACTGGACCAGGAACGCCTGACTAGGCAACAGGAACTTACTGCCTTGTACCAGATGCAGCACCTCCAGTACCAGCAGTTCTTAATACAGTAAGAGCAGTGATGCAGTAAGATGTACTGCAGCACCAAAGGAGCCTGGGATAGAATCTGCTCCCAAATCTCACCTTTTATAGTGAGAACTGAAGGCTTCCTTGATACTTGAGTAGCCTGCTAGTGACATGTTTACCATGATACACCCTAAGCTTAGTCTTCTTTGTTTTGTTTTTTTGTTTTTTTTGTTTTTTTTTTTTTTGGTCTTTTTGAGACAAGGTCTCCCTGTAGCCCCAGCTGTCCTGGAACTTACCATGTAGACCAGGCTGGCCTTGAACTCACAGAGATCCGCCTGTCTCTGCCTCCCAAGTGCTGGGATTAAAAGCATGCGCCACCATGCCCGGCCTAAGCTTAGTCTTCTTAAATGCTAGAAGTTTTCTGACACCTAAAGCCCGCATGGTGGCGCACTCGGGAGGCAGAGAGGTTGGTGGATCTTTGTGAGATGAAGGCCAGTCTGGTCCATATTGTGAGTTCCAGGTCAGCTAGGGCTACAGGAAGACCCTCTCTCAAAAAAAAGAAAATCACACCTAATTATAATTTTGAAAGTCTTTAGTTACTAAAGAAAGACAACAAACATTTCAAGAATTAAGTGCTTCTTGAGAGGCATAGAGAAAACAGAATGGGAAGAAAAAATTTATAGTGTCAGACATGATGTGGAATGACCTCCTTAGTCTCCTGTGCCCTGGGCTCGCAGACCCATGCTGTACCCATGCTCTCGAAGAAGTAACATTTGAGCTGGTGTATGGGTTGGCAAAGCCTGGCCCTGCTGCCTATTTTTACAAACAAGGTGTTATTGGATCACAGGCATCCCTATTTGTTTACAGACTGTGACTGCTTTTACTTCACAAAGGCAGAATTGAGCAGTTGCAACAGACACTGCATGGCCTGCAAAACTAAAAATATTCTTTGGAGTCTATCAAAATCAGTAGAAAAAAATTACCTAAAAATTTCCAAGTTGAAGCATAAAATTTGAGACTTTTATAGAAATGATTTTCTTCATTTGGAAATAGCTGTTCAAATTTGCTTATTTGTGTGTGACATCATCATATAGAATTATATATTTGGTTACTGTTCTAATAGTGGTTTGGGGAGGTGATGAATTGAATTTTGTCTTGCATTGTTTCAGTCAAGTGAATTATATGTGGACAGACAGGTTATATATATATTTTTAAACTTTTGAAGACAACAGTATGCACAGGTTTTGGCTCAACAACAACAAAAGGCAGCGTTGTCATCCCAGCAGCAGCAACAGTTGGCTCTTCTTCTCCAGCAGTTCCAGGCTCTGAAGATGAGGTTAGTGGTATTCTGTTATATTAGAGAGAGAGAGAGAGAGAGAGAGAAATTTTACTATGAATTTATTGTGAATTTCAGCATCAGAGTACTGCCACACATCTTCATAGTGTGTATCAAAACAATATAGCTGAAAAAATAGTTTAGCTAAATGTTTACTTGGTCTTTTTACTCATAGAGGATACAAATTTTTTTTTGGTCTTTTTGAGGCAGCGTCTCCCTGTGGTCCTACCTGGCCTGGAACTTGCTACGTAGACCAGACTGGCCTTGAACTCACAGAGATCTGCCTGCCTCTACTTCCTGAGTGCTGGGACTAAAAGTGTGCGCCACCACACCTGGCAGAGGATACAGTTTTTGAATCCTGATCAAAGAGTGATGATAATATTTGAGAAGTCAGTATAGCTTCATAGAACCTTAAGCAAAAATCATACGTGAGGATTTTAATTTGTTTTACCTATAATATCTGAAAAAATTATTAGTAATGTCATACTGGATTCCCTAAACCACAAAAGTAGGTCTATGGACAAAGTAATTATGAAGAAAGTCTTTAATTCCTGCTATTCCACATACTCAAGATATTTGCCTTAAGTCCCGAAGATGTGCCAGTCACGGTTCCCACAACTATACTGTTTAATTAAAGTACTTCACATTTCTCATGTGTGCCTTAGCCCATTTGATGAGGTGAGCAGGTTAATGTTGGGTCTCAGTTTTAAAGATAGGCAAATTGGACTTCAAGAGTCTGAAGAATTGGATAGCCTAAGCATGGAAGACCTCAGAGACAACTAAAACGCAAACCTTTGCGAGTGCTAGGAATTATTTCTAAGTTTAAAATAAAGGCTCTTATTTTCCAAGTGACAGGAACATATTAATTTTTTATTTCCCTCTTGCAGACTATCTGATCAGAACATCATTCCCTCAGTCACGAGGTCTGTGTCAGTGCCAGATACTGGCTCTATCTGGGAGCTTCAGCCAACAGCCTCACAGCCCACAGGTAAAAACTTAACTTTGATTGTACTGCAATTCCAAGGGATTTAGAATGTAGTAATAATTTTATAGTTCAAAAATTTTAAAACATCCATGCTGGAGAGATGGCTCAGTGGTTAAGAACACTGACTGTTCTTGCCCAGAACCCACATGGCAGCTAATAACTGTCTATAACTCCAGTTCCAGGGATATCCGACAGCCTCTCCTGACCTCCGAGGGCATTGCACAACACAGGTACCCTTAACCTATATGCAGGCAATACATGCATACACATAAAATAAAAATAAGAAAAAATATTTTTTTTAAATTTAAAACATCCTAGAGATATTGATCCATTATTATTGAATATAATAAAAAAAGTTCCATGTTCAATAAATAAAAAACTGGATTTGTAGGGAGTATTTAGTATGAAACTTGTGTGAATTTTGTGAGTCAAGTTCTGTTTTTTGTAGAGAACAGAAAAAAATGTAGAAAAAAAAATGTTAGGGTGCTGGCAATAGTCTCCAGTCCCTATGTATGCTAGGCAAGGGCTGTGCCAATGAGCCAAGTTGCCTCCAGCCTGGAAAAACCCTTCTATGTTTGTTGTCTTCTGCCAGAGAGGTGGGGGAAGGGCACTGGGTGGGTAGGGGAGCATAAAAAAGAACATGGGTAATGATGTTCTTCTCTTGTGTTAGAGATCGTTTGCACATTAACACTGCTGTGCTCCAGACTTTTGAGAAGAGAAATGCCTATTTTTTACATGAATACTCTCTTGTTCTCTGATGTTATTGTATGTCAAATCAGAAAAATTAGGATTTGGGATTTTTTTAAATCTTCAGAATTTTTCCTTTTTGAGACAAGAGTCTCACTATGTAGCCCTGGCTGGCCTGGAACTCACTGTATAGAACAGGCTGACTCAGGCTCAGTAGAAATGGATTCACCTGCCTCTGCCTCCCAAGCTTGATTTTTGGAAATCTTAATAATTAGAGGAACAAACTCTATTTTGTTGTTCTGGTATGGTGTCTGCAGACTTAAGTAGAATGTTTGATTAACCAGTAGTGCTCACAAGAGATAGTAGTTGGCTGTAAAATTATCAGAAACCATAAAAACTGACAATTCTCTTAGAGCTTTGGAGTCGTCAGGCTGTAGTTCCCTTAGCATTGACCCTGCACAATGTGGCAGTAGAGGACTGATTGTCTCCTCTCAGAAACTTTGCCCAAAAGAAAACTTTCCTACTATTCATACACTATTTTTTAAATTACATTTATTTATTCATTTGTGTGTGTGTGTGTGTGTGTGTGTGTGTGTGTGTGTGTATGCATGTGTGCATATAGGGAAGCCAGGACAACTTGAGGGAGTCAGTTCTCTCTTGTGTGGACCCTAGGGGTTAAACTGAGGTTGCCAGGCTTAACAGCAAGTGCCTTTGCCCCACTGAGCCTTCTTACCAGCCTACATTATTTTCTGAGTATTCATTTACATTAGAATGTTAAAATACTCTTCAGTGTTTTGGAAATTCTAAGTACTTCATTAAACAGTTTTATTTCTTTGAGTTTGTATGCAATCAGGACCTTTTGAATACTCCATTAGTTTTGTACAGACAATATTTGCACAGATGGATTGTGATAGGAATATAGAAAATAGAGTGATGTGGTGGAACACTTGCATTGCAAGTTCAAGACTGTTAAATCTTAAGTATGGAGGCTGGGAGAATTAATGTCAACAGACTTCATGAACAATAGGGCAATAGTCTCGGAAGCCTTTATTTTGTTCTTGTTTTGACCCTTTGAGAGAGGGTCCCAGGTAATCTTGAACTTGATATATAGCCAGGGCTGGTCTTGAACTCACGATGCCCCTGCTTCTACTTCCAGAGTGCTGAGGTCACATGCATATACTACCACACGGAATCCTTTGTATTTACTTCTTCATCTGGCCCTGTGCTCTTTTTGATCTGCCAAACCAAATATAGTTTGTGAGACCTGCCCAGCCTTTCCAAAGAATTACAACTTACACATTTTAAGATGAGCAGTTGAGTGACATTTAATATATTTACTGGGCGCAACCACCTGGTTTTCTACTTGGTGTACAGTAAGATTGAATGACTACTTGGAATGCAGTCTTTGGGATTTGATACCACTGGAATTGAAATCATGGTGTTCTCATATTCTTACCATGCTCCTTTAGGAGTTTTAAAATGAGTTTGTTCATCTATAAAGATGGGAAATGTATATCAGATGCCTTTATGGGCTTTGCAGAAATGAAATTGGTTCCTTAGTAACTGCGTGTACTACATTTTCTTCAAGAAGTGTTAAAGAATATTGATGAGCGCCTACTGGCTTAGTTTCTTTAAAAGCAAAACAACCAGGCCGAGTTGGCACATACCTATGATCTAAGCACTTGGGAGGTTGAGGCAGGAAGTACTCACTGTCAAGGCAATCTTGAGCTATATAGGAAGACTCCCGGCCCCCACCCCCAACAGAAACAATGTGTGTGATGGAGCTGATTTCAGGTTCAGGAAGCAGCTTTTTTCATTATGCCTTTGGGTATCTGACTGTGCTATTCTGACTGCTCTCATTTTTCCCTTTGCCTTACAGTTTGGGAAGGTGGTAGTGTTTGGGATCTTCCCCTGGATACTACAACACCAGGCCCTTCCCTGGAACAGCTTCAGCAGCTAGAGAAGGCCAAAGCTGCAAAGGTCTGAGCTCTTCAAGTTATATACTACTGTAGCTGATTATTCTTTTTCCTTCTGGTTTATTGCTGCATAGCTGGGATAAGTCCATTATTTTATCTTTATTGTACCTTCTCTCCCAAAAAAAAAGACCTCAATTGAAATTAGTATTAGTTTATTTACTAATGATCATAGCCATATGTGTATTTTAGTTACATTGTTTATGGTATGAACATTAGCTACAAATACTGTTAGAAAATATCTACTGCATTGTTTATTAGGTTCCTGATTTGCAACTTGAGTCCCTACATTGAATCTTTTTAGTAATTTCCTAGTGTTCCCAAGCATGAAACTGAAAAGCTCAGCATTATTGAATCCTGGAGGAGCTCATCTTGAATTTTGGTTTAGTGCTTTACCAAAGAGATGCCTTTAGCAATGCATAGTATGATATATATATACACACACACGCACACACACACTTATTATTTTTTGATTCTCATGCCTTCAGGAGAGTCTTGTTAGGATTTTGCACTTAATATATTCTTTTTTTTTTTGGTCTTTTTGAGACAGGGTCTCCCTGTAGCCCCAGCTGTCCTGGAACTTACTATGTAGACCAGGCTGGCCTTGAACTCACAGAGATCCATCTGCCTCTGCCTCCTGAGTGCTGGGATTAAAGGCATTTGCTACCATGCCTGGCGTTTCTCAGTGTTTTGAATTAGGAACATGTAGATGATGACAGATACGGTCTTTCAGGGAATTTGATCTGGAAACTATAGGACTGTAACCAGTTAGAAAGGTGGGTGTTTTTTTGCTCTGTTTTTGTGTTTTTGAGACAGAGTCTCACGATGTAGGGCTAGCTGATTTGAAACTCGCTATGTAAACCAGGCCATCCTCAAACGTGTGTGCAGTAGCACCTGGCACCAGTGGCACTTTTGATGGATAGTAATCCACAAATTTATTTTCATTTGAAGATTAATTAGGGGTTTTGTTCTGTTTGTGACATGGTCCTACTATGTGACCATGATTGTCCTGGAATTCACTATGTAGAGCAGACAAGTTGGCCTTCAACTTGAGGTGGTCTCTAGCTCCCAAGTACTGGGATTACAGTTATGTATCACCACATTCCAGCATGGGTTTTTGGTGACAAAGTATAAGGTTATGAAAATTAAGTTGCAATTGAAGAAAATAGTCCTGGTAAAGGCTAGATATATGTGAGAACATTCTTGAATCAGGACACAAGTAATTTGATATAGCTAGGGGACAGGATACCTCTAAGGAATAAGATGAACAGGGTGGCCATGGGCTTCCCTGCACTTTAAATTGTAAAGAGTTAGGATTTATTAAACTTCACTGTAAAGAATGCCACCAAATTGAGCCTGGGAGTAGTTTTTTTTCTTTTCTATTGAGTGGAGATTACATGTTGAGCTGAGGAATGTGGGTAGAGCTGGATGGGAGGAACTGGAAAAAAGACTCTTAGGACTGTAGGTGGAAAAATGATAGGCCTGAAATACAGTAATGATGATGAGACTAGTGATTCCTGAGTTAATTTCTAGCAGCTCTGCCTCATAGTTGTTGAAACCTTATAGTCACACTGCTGGATATTCAGTCCGAAAGTTTTTCAGAGGGTTGAGTAAAGAAATGCTAGACATATACCTCAGAATAGTTCTGATGTTGCTCTCATATTGACTATTTTCTGTCCCACATTAGGATGTGTGTAATGTCATGTGTGTTGAAAATGTGGCCAAAGTGGGAGAAGCATGGATTTAGTTTAGAAGAACCTAAAACTCTTGTGATTACTGTGATGTGGTAGAGCTTAGAGTCCAAACAGGATTTCATCACCCATTGCTGCACAAGTTCCTCATGGTTGGCAACATTTGCCACTCTCATCCTCTGATGATACCAGTCAGTGGTGGTGGGGTGCCGGTTTCTGTCTTTGCTGTCAAGCTTATGAAAATTCTCTCTAATCATCCAGCTAGAGCAGGAGAGAAGAGAGGCAGAAATGAGGGCAAAAAGGGAAGAGGAGGAACGAAAGAGGCAAGAAGAACTCCGGAGACAGCAAGAGGAAATCCTTCGGAGGCAGCAGGAGGAAGAAAGAAAAAGGCGGGAGGAAGAAGAACTTGCCCGAAGGAAACAGGTAGGAGATGCTCTTGTATTCTTGGTGAGAGATTTAGGTAATCTGTTCACTTCCATGCCAGGGGAAATGGGGGGAGGACAGAGATGGTTGTAATAGAGACAATAACATTTGTACCAGTACCCACTGAAAGAAGGTGTGTGTGTGTGTGTGTGTGTGTGTGTGTGTGTGTGTGTGTTGTGTGTGTGTGTGTGTGTGTGTGTGTGTGTGTGTGTGTGTGTGTTGAGAGAGAGATTTTAGAGAGGAGTATTTTATTATAGGGACCTTGGGGGAGAGATAGCAGGGGTCACTGGGATGGGAGTTGGGTACCATTGAGTCTTATTTCTTGGGAGTTAATAAATTTAGTGGAGGGAGGAAGGGGAGTGGGAGATGAGCTGGTCACTCCAATTCACATTCCAGGTGTCCAAGAAGGTTTTTTTTTTTTTTTTTTTTTTAACTATTTTTAAATTATTTTTATTTTTATTTTTATTATTTAATTTTTGGTCTTTTTAAGACAGGGTCTCCCTGTAGCCCCAGCTGGCCTAGAACTCACTATGTAGGCTAGGCTGGTCTTGAGCTCACAGAGATCCTCCTGCCTCTGCCTCCCTAAGAGCTATGATCAAGGGCATGCACCACCGTGCCTGGCTTAGCAAGAGGATTTAAAAAATATTTTATTCACTATTTTATTTTATTTATTTTTTTATGTGTATGAGTAGATTGCATGTATGTAGTAAGTACACTCATGTTGTGCAATGTCCACAGAGCTTAGAAGTACCTGTCAGATACCCTAGAACTGGAGTTACAGATGGTTGTTAGCTGCCATGTGAGTGCTGGGAACTGAACCCAGGTTCTCTGCAAGAGCAACTAGTGCTCTTAACTGCTGAGCCATCTCTCCAGCCCCTATTATTTTTATTTTATGTGCATGAGTGTATTGTCTGCATATGTGTAAGTGCACCTGTGTTGTGCAGTGCCTGAGGAGGTCAGAAGAGGGCATCAGATCCTACAACTGGAGTTACTCAAGGTTGTTAGCTGCCATGTGGGTGCTGGAATTTGAACCTGGGTCCTCTGCAAGAACAATCAGTGCTCTTAACTGCTGAGCCATCTCTCCAACCCTGAAAGGGTATTCTTGAGTCTCAGTAAGTCAGTTTTGTAACTTTGAATAATTTCTTGCATTTTATAAACTAGTTAGATTTCAGAAACTCTTACTGGTAAAAATGTGAAGTAATTTTGGTACACAGCATTTTTCTTTTGTTTTTGTTTTTAAAATCAAATGTGCTTTCAAAAAAAAAAAACCAATAACATATATTATGTAAAATTCACCATCTCAGCCATGTTAAATATCCGCCCAGTAGAATTGTTAAGTTCTGTTGCTGTGCATCCTCACCAACTCACCAAAGTCCATTTATTTGCATGCAGGATTACTAGGATTACTTCATTCATCTTCCTAAACTGAAAATTCTTTTTTATAGTTTCTTTTGTTTTTTGGGTTTTTTTTTTTTTAAAGATAGGGTCTTACTTGTATAGCCCTGGCTGTCCTGGTAACTTGCTATGTCAACCAGGCTGACCTAGAACTCATAGAAATCTGCCTGCTTCTGCCTCCCAAATGCTAGGATTAAAGGTGTTCTGCCACCATCAGGTCCAACTGAAAGCCCATGAAGCAAGTCCCATTTCTCTTTCCCCTGGCTCCTGGAAACACCATCCTTCTCTGTCTCTGTTATTTGCCTTCTCTGGTACCTTGTGTAAGTGAAACCATTTCACTCTTTATTGTTTTGTAACTGGCCTAAGATTTATTCATGTTGCAGCATGTGTCAGAATTTCAGTTTTTTGTTCTTTTATATGTGGTCAGCATATTTTGATTTTCCATTTTACCTGTAGGTGGACATTTGGATGATTTCCATATATTTTGGCTATTATAAGTAATGCTGTAAACACGAGTACAGATAACTGGTTGAGCCATTACTTTAACTCTTGTTTACCAGAAGTGGATCTGCCAGATCATACATGAATTTTGCATTTAAATTTTTTACATCCCCACTATCAGTGCATAAGAGTTTCAGTGTCTTTCTCAAGACTTGTTTCAGGGATTTCTTTTTTTTTTTTTTTTTTTTGGTGTGGGGAGTAAAGGGGCAGGTGGGAGGGTGCAAGTAGGCAGTGATCTTTCTACTAGGTATTGAAGTGGTGTCTCATTTATGCTTTTGAGTTACATTTTCCCAAATGAAATTGATATTTAGCATCTTCACAGGTTTTATCATTCACATATACTTTAAAAAATACACGTGTCTTTGGCTGGGCATGGTAGCACATACCTTTGGTCCCAGCAGAGACCGATTTAGTCTCAGTCAGGGTGATCTCTGTAAGTTTGAGGCAGCCTGGTCTACATAAAGAGTTTCAGGACAGCTAGTGAGACCCAGTCTCAAAAATCAAAAGCAAAAAACAAAACAAAATGTGTGTGTGTGTGTGTGTGTGTGTGTGTGTGTGTGTGTGTGTGTAGCTTAGCTTTGACTAAGACCTTTTCCCTCTAGTCTTTCCTTTACTATACCTTTCTAGTTCTGTTGGTGATTAGAATTTTAAAAACAGCGAAGAAAAAACACCTCTACACTAACTGTATAATTATCCTTTGCTATTTTCAGGAGGTTGAAGGCAGGGCTCCTTATTAAAATCCACAGATACACAAAGTCCCTCATACAAAATTGTGTGTACTTACAGTCCATGCATGTCTTCTAGAAAACTTTAACTTTCTATATTACTTATTATACCTAATACAATGTAAATGCTATGTAAATAGTTGTTATGCCATAGTATTTAGGGAATATTGACAAGGAAAACCGTTTGTGCATGCCCAATATGGATGCAGTTTTTGTTTCTTAAATATTTTTAATCTTTCATTGGTTGGACTAGTGAATAAAAAGTCAGCTGTGTGCTTACTTAAGAGATATGTTGCCTTTCTCTGAGTATGGTGGTGCATGCCTTTAATCTAGCACTTGGGAGGTAGAGGCAGGCGGATCTCTGTGAGTTCAAGGCCAGCCTGGTCTACATAGTGAGTTCCAGGCCAGCTGGGGTTACAGGGAGACCCTGTCTCAAAAAGACTTGAAAAGGAGGGGGGATGATGTGCCTAAAAGACTAAAAAAGGGGGGGTGCCTTTTGTATTTCGTGTTTCGTGACCTACCTTTTGACATTAATGCATTATGTCATCTTCCCATGCCAAATATTATATGCGTGTACAAATCATCATTATTTTGGCTGTATGAATTTTAATCTTCTAAATTATAATTTAGCTAGTTCTCTGTTGTTGGATAAGAAACTTGTTCTCAACTTTTTGTTACTCTATTTTGTTTTGTTTTTAGTTTTTGAAACAGGTTCTCACTTTGTAGCCCTGGCTGATCTGGAACTCAGATCTACCTACCTCTGTGTCTGGAGTGCTGGGATTAAAGACATGGGTCACCACACCTGGCCTTGTTCTCTGTTTCTACCAGTGAAACCTCTCCCCCACCTTTTTTTTAAAAAACTGTTTTATTTTGAGGAATTCATTATTAATAACTTGATTGGTCCATTTTTATGTTGACTTTAAAAAAAAATTTTTTTTTTTATGTGTATGAGTGTATTGCCTGCATGTAGGTAGGTGTACCTGTGTTGTGCAATGTCCATGGAGGTCAGAAGAGGGTATCGGTTCCCCTGGAACTGGAGTTACAGATGGTTGTTAGCTGCATGTGGGTACTGAGAACTGAACCTGGGTCTTCTACAAAAGCAGCCCAGTGCTCCTAACCTCTGAGCCATCTCTCCAGCCTCTCTATTGGTGTTTTTATAGACTCCAGTAGGAAGAATCCACTCTGTTGGTCCAAAGTATAGTTTTTAATCACACATTTTCTACTTGTTGGCTTCAAGAAATTCTCTATGAAGGATCCATGCTGCCATAAAAACAGATTTCTTAGAGTTACAGTGTATCAGTATAAAATAGCAGTAAGAAATGTTGCAGTAAAGAAGTCCATTTAATTCTGCAGTACCCAGTGTTCTCTAAATGGTTTTGACAGTAGGATCCTACCTTTCTGTGTTACACTTAATAACATTGGCAGGACTTCTGTCCTTCAGAACATGTTCTGGGATGCATGACTTTCTCAGTACTTCACTAGGTCTTCACAACTAAGCAAATTTGACCTCTTTATGCTTTACATTTCCAGTTGATTAAAACATCAGGGTAGGTCCAGTGTGGTTATACACCCTGTTATCTGAGCAGAGGCTGGTAGATCTCTGTGAGATTGAGACTGGCCTGGTCTACATGGTGAGTTCCAGGCCAGCTGGGGCTGTAGGGAAACTCTGTTTCAGAAAAATAAAATTAAAAAAATAAAACATAGGGGCTAATGGTGCAATAAAGAAAGCAAGCAAAGCCCAAGTTCGAATATTCTCTGTAGGGTTCAGGCAGTAAATATGTAACTGGTATCAAAACCAAAGTAGACCTCTGGTATTGCAGTATTAACTAGTATTTTAAATACAATTGATTTTTATTCTTAATATGCTGCCTTCCCAACTTTCATGTGTACTTTTGATTCTAGATCCTGGTCTATACTTACAGAGACTTAGCAGCATATAGACTCTTCCTCTTCAAATATTGATAGAGTCAGAGTTTGACACACAATCCTACCTCCTTTCTTTTTCCTTTAGGAAGAGGCTCTTCGACGTCAGAGGGAGCAAGAACTTGCGCTAAGGCGACAGCGAGAAGAGGAAGAAAGACAGCAACAAGAAGAAGCTCTCAGAAAATTGGAGGAGAGGAGACGAGAAGAGGAAGAAAGGCGGAAACAGGAGGAATTGTTACGCAAGCAGGTGGCCAGATATTTACTCTAATTGTTCTTTGAAGCTAGGAATTATTAATCAGGACAATAAGATAGCCTTTCTAAAGCCTTTTCTGGTTACTCGTTACTTTTGTCTGTGTCCTTACCTCGTCCCTTTCTGGTTTTCTTCAGCTTTCTAGTGAAAGCATAAAAAGACTTGGATTTTTTTTTTTTCCCCTTTGAGGTGAGAGTCTCACTATGTACCCTTGGCTGAACTCACAGCAATTAGCTTGCCTCTGCTGGGATTGAAGGTGTATGCCACTCCATAAAAGCATGGGTTTTATGGCTCTGGCTTTGTTTCTCTTCATATTTTTCAATGGCATGCTTTAAAACATTTAAGTTTTGACATTATTTTTCCCCCTAAAATTGTATCGTTTTAGTTGTCTTAAGTGTGAAATCTTTATGTTCTGAAAACATATTCTTTGTTAAGTACATATTTCATGTGTGCTTTCTCTTAGCTGTTGGCTTGTCTGTTTCTTTAGTATCTTTTAAATGCTATAATTTTTTTTTGAGAATTTCATACACGAGTACCCTGTACATAATTTTTACCCCTCTCCTTGCCACAATTTCTTCCTTCTCCTTTTTTGAATTCATGACTTCATCTATAACTTTGTATATATATAAAATTATAAAAAATAGGAGTTCAGTTAGTATTGCCTATATGTACTGACCACTTAGGATTGGGAAACCTATCACAGGACTAGTCCCTGGAGAAAATTGACTCCCTTCCTCAACATGTAGCTCTTCATCTAAGGGGTAATGATCTTAAGAAAATTTTCTCCATCTGTGTTGGCATGTCAACTGGTGTGATCTTAGCAGGTCATGTGCAGATACCATATTGTTGCGAGTTCATGGGTACAGTCGTCCCTGTCATGTCAGCAGTTCATTTTGCTCTCTGGGGTCTTACAATGCCTCCCCCTGATGTTACCTGGGCTTTAGATACAGGGTTTATATTGTAGATATCCTAGTTGTGGATCTCTATAGTAGACACTGCTACAGAAAGAAGCTTCTTTGATGAGGGGTGAGAGCAGTACTTATCTATGGGTATAGAGATAAGTATTTAAAATATAGTGGGAAGCTGTATTGATTTAGGAAAATGCTAGTAGTAGTAGATATCCTCTGGGGTCTGTGACCTCTCCAGCCATAGGTCCTTGGCTGGGTTTGCAGTACCAGTCACAAGTTTCTCAAGGTAAGCAGGCCTTAAGTCTAATTAGCTGTTGGTTACCCTTAAGATATAAATGCCATTATTGTACCATTGAGCTACCTAGCCAGGCTAATCATCTCTACTCAGGCTTTAGAGTTGGGTAGGGCTATTGCCTACTTTTCTCCCTGGCATCTTACTTTTCTCCCTGGCATCTAAAGCACTAGCCTTCAGGGAGGAGGCGTCCAGGTCAGTGCCAGCTTGATTCCTCCAGGTCTTGTGACTGTCTTGTGATGTCTTCAGCAGTAGGATCTTTAAATTCTAGGAGGCAGCAAAGGACAATGATAGTAGTCTCCTGCCCGTCACTGGGATTTTTGTTAGTCTGTGACCCCTGGAGAGAGAAAGCACACGTACATACTATGTATTTTATTTATTTTATGTTTCGGTCTTTTTGAGACGGGGTCTCCCTGTAGCCACAGCTGACCTGGAACTTGATAGACCAGCCTGGCCTCCTTCGTTTTCATAGAGATCCTTCTGCCTCTGCCTCCGGCATGCTGGGATTAAAGGTGTGTGTCATCATGCCTGACATATTATATATATTTTAAGTTTTTCTGTTTTTTTTTGTTTTTTTGGGGGGGGGAGGGTCTTTTTTTTGAGACAGGGTCTCCCTGTAGCCCCAGCTGTCCTGGAACTCACTATGTAGACCAGGTTGGCCTCGAACTCACAGAGATCCGCCTGCCTCTGCCTCCCAAGTGCTGGGATTAAAGGCGAGCGCCACCACGCCCGGCTCCTGTTTCTTTTTTTCTCCAAGTATCCTTAGTATTATCTTCTTCCCCCTCCCTCCCTCTATACTAACCCCACTACTCTCCCTCTGTACTACCCTCTGCCTCACCCTAGTTGGCATGACCCACCCCATTTTTCCCCTCTCCCCCTTCATAGAACCTGTGCCCTCCTATCCCCCTCTCTGGAGCTACTTCTGCCCCTCTCCCCATGGTCCCTTTCTACATGCCTGGCTTCTCTTGTGTAGTAGTATCTTTTGTACATCTTGCAGCTTTGTTCTTATGTGAAAAAATCCCTTGACTATCTTAGAGCTTTTGCTTTTTCATTGAAATCTAAAAATCATTTTAATCAAGAGGTCATATGTATCATGTTTATGCATTGAATGGAATTTAAAAAATTGTTTTCCATTTTGTTGTTTCTGTATAAAAACACTGTTGGTTTTCATGTATTGATGTGTCTTAAGTCTTTTTTTAAAAAAAATATTTATATTTTTATTTTATGTGTATGAGTGTTTGCCTGCACGTAAGTGAGTGCACCCATGTTGTTCAATGCCACAGAGGTCAGAAGAAGGTGTCAGATTGCCCTGGAACTGGAGTTGAGGATGGTTCATAGCCGCCATGTAGGTGCTGGGAATCGAACCCAGGTCCTCTGCAAGATCAGTCAGTGCTCTTAACCGCTGAGCCATCTCTCCAGCCCCATGTGTCTTAAGTCTTTTTATAAGTTCATTTATTACTGTTTCAGTTGATGTCCTAGAAATTTTTCTGAAATGATTTTAGTTTTGGTGAATAGGAGCAGTTTCCATTCATTCATTCTTTCCAGTTTTGGAAAGAAGTAGTTAAAAAATGGACCGTCAATAGCTTTGTTACTAATTTTATTTACTTATTACTATGTGTCTGTGTGTGCGATGTGTATGTGGGTCTACACACCACAGCACATGGATAGAGATTAGGCAGACATTTTATGGAGTTGGTTCTCTGTTTACAGTTTTATGTTCTAGGGATTGAACCCAGGTCACCAGGCTTGCTCCGCAAGTACCTTTCCCTGCAGAATCATCTTACCAGCCTGATTGTTTCTAATGTTAGAGAGAAAATGTTCAGTGTTTTACCATTAAATGTGTTGAAAGTTTTGGGGCTGTGGGGTCGGCTTCAGGAATCTTGTCCAGTTATAGATTGTGCTTTTGGTATGCACAAAGGCCTGGGTTGAGGAAAGTTTGACAAGTAACACTTCCACCCAAAAGTGTTGCAATGTTTTTTGTAGGTACTTGTTACCCGACCAAGGAAGTTTCTGTCTGTTCGAGGTTTGCTGAAAATTTGTTCATGGATGAATATTGATTCGTAAATGCTTTGTCTGTATTTATAGATGATAGTTCAATTTTCTCATTTGTTCTGTTCATTATTTGCAGAGTTTAAACCAACTCTGTTCCTGAAACATACTCTATTTATAGTCACCTAATTTGTTAGTGTATAGGTAAAGAGTTTGCATTGATGTTCACATGTTGGTCTATAGTTTTCCTTAGCAGTATTATCAACATTGCCTTAAAAGAAATGAGAAAATGGTACTTTCATTTGTTTTTCTGAAAAGATATAAATGGAAGATTGGTATTAGTTCTTCGCTGAGTTTGGGTACTTGGTAGAGGTCACTAATGAAATCCTCTAGTCTTCACATCTTCTTCATGGAGAGGATTTTTATAAAGTTAAGCAAACATTTTTTTAAGCTATAAGGCAAATCAGGGTTTTTGTTCCACCTTGTGCCACCAGTGTTTGTGGGTTGTTTTCTGACAGAATTGCAAAGTTGTTATTCCTTTGCTAGTCTGTGTTTCTGTGATTTATTTATTGTGTGTGTGTGTGAGTGATGTGCCTTTGTGAGTATGAGCACATGTGTGCTGTCGTGCACATGTGGAGGTCAGAGAGGACAGCTCTTGGGACTGGGTTCTTTCCCTCCACTTTGGGTTCTAGGGAGTGAACTCAGGTTATCAGGCTTGTAAGGCAGGTGCGTTTACCTTCCGAGCTATCTTGCCATACTTAGTTTTAAACTTTTAAAATCATAAATACATGTAAAGCAATAATTTCCTTGTACGCATTAACTTTTGTCACAATTTTTGCTTTGGCATATGGTTTATTTGGAATTGGGTTATTTAGTTTCCAACCATATAGGAGCCTTTCTAGATAATGTTTTTGATTTATTTTTATTTTATGAGTGTTTTGTCCTCATGTATGCAAGTGTACCACATACATGCAGTGTCCTCAAAGGCCAGAAGAGGGTGTTGGATCCCTTGGAACTGGAGTTATAGATGATTGTTAGCCACCATGTGGGTGCTGGGAATTAAACCCAGGTCCTCTGCGAAGAGCACTAAGTGTTCTTTAACTGCTGAACCAGCTCTACAGCCTCCCTTTCTAGATTATCTTTTAAAAATGTATTATATTAAGTTTTATTTTGTGTTGGGGGTGGTGGTGGTACATATGTGGCATAGCATATGTGTGAAGGTCAGAGGACAAATTGCTTGAGTTGCTTCTCTCCTTCCGTCTATGGGCTCCAGGGTTTGAACTCATGTTGTCAGCCTTGGCAGCAGGTTGGTTTACCCACTGAAACATCTTTCCGACCCTAAATAATCTTTCTTTTATCTTTTAAAGATTGATTTTTCTTTTGAGACAGGGTCTCCTTGAAGCCCCAGCTGGCCTGGAACTTGCTATGTAGACCAGGCTGGCCTTGAACTCACAAAGATCCATCTGCCTCTGCCTCCCAAGTGCTGGGATTAAAGGCGTGCACCACCACACCAGGCTTTAAAGACTGATTTTTATTTTATGTATATTTATGTGTCTGTGTGGGTGTATGCCAAATGCAGTGCCCAGTGATCCCCTTAAGCTGGAGTAATAGGTGGTTGTGAGCTGCCATGTGGGTGCTGGGAACTAAACTTGGGTCCTTTGCAAGAACAGTGAGTGTTCCTAACCATAGAGCCATCTATCCAGCCCCAATAATCTTATTTCTGTTCATCTCTAACTTAAGTACATTGTGTTCAGAGAACAGTCTTTAAATTCTCTGTGGTTTTAAGATTTTATTAACTTGTTTTTTGATTCAGCATATAGTGTATCTTGCTGAACACCTTATATTTATTTATAAAGTATTTATAAAGCTCTTCAGTATAATGTTCTGTGAATGACAGGTCAAGTAGATTAATACTATTCAAATATTTTATTTCCTTATTTATGTCTAGTTGTTTTATCAGTTGTCAAGAGAGGGGGATACCAAGATGTCAAACTTTACTTGTTCATTTCTGTCTTTAGTTCTTCTTTTTTTGTTCTTGTGTTTTGAATTTGGTTTTAGTTGCACACAAATCTGCCATTGCTCTGTCTTCTTAAAAAGCTTGTTTGGAAGTTTAGTGGTTTCACTCAGATACCCTTGATGGAATATTTGTGAGGAGCATGCAGAAAGCCGTGAAGGGGGGAAGGAGACACTAGTCTAGCCATCCAGATCAATCAGATAACCTTTGTGATCAGTGCTATTACAGATGTTTGTAACCAGTTTGCCCTCACATGCTGTTGTCTTCTTGATGATCCCTTTAATGTTACAGAGTGTTCCTCTAGTTACATCTAGTTCCTTCTCTTAAAGCACATTAAAGTGATACTGTATAACCACTCTGATATTTGATATGTAGATCAAGCTGGCCTTGAACTCATAATAGAGATCCACTTGCCTTTTCTTTAGAGATGTATTAATTTATTTGCATTTCTGTGGGGTGGGGGGGCTCACATTTTCTTGGCCATGTTGGAAGCTAGCAAACCTCAGGAATCCTCCTGTCTCTCTTTTTCCCTTCGGAGCTGTATTTACAGGCATTCACAGGATGCCCAGTTTGTTGCATGACTGCTGTGATCAAACTCTGGTTTTTATGATGAGCAGCAGGAATTCCTGACCACTGACCATCTCTCCAACCCTCTCCCTCCTTCGCCTCTCTAGAGCGTAAAATAAATTTTTTGTGATGTGTGTGAGTATGGGGTATGTGCATGCATGCAGAGGCGAAAGGAAGCTGTTGGGCATCCTGTTCTGTTATTCTCTGCCTTATTCCTTTGAGTCAGAGTCTCACTGAAACTGGTGCTAACTGGCAGCCATCAAACAAACCCCAAGCTGTCATCATTCTGTCTGCCCTCCAGTTCACTGGGGTTAGAGGAGCTTTTTATATGGGTGCTAGGGTTTTGAACTCAGATCCTCATACTTGAGAGCAAACAGTCTTACCTCTTCAGCTGTCTCCCCCAGCCCTAGTGGTTTTTGAAATTTTGTGTAATGGATATTGTAAATGATAGATTACAAAGTGCATTGATTCTGTTTTATTGTCTTGAAAAACTTTCTTGGGCCAACATTTAACTTAATGAAGTCAATCTTCAAATAATGAAGTCAATCTTCAAACTCTGCTGCCACCACCCTATGATAGAGCACTTGAAGTCTCTTCTTAGGTCTTTCAACTCCATCTTAGTTCAGGCCCTGAGTTCTTTCATGTAGTTTTGAGTCAGCCAGAGGTTTTGGCAGATTTGAGGGCTCCTCCCTACCCCCAACGTTTCTAGGTATTTTCTAAATTTATAGCTGCTCCTTCATCCCAGAACTCTTATTCTTGTCATCTCATGTTAATTGGGCCTTTTGTGAATTGGATAGTGCCTTCAGCCAAGAAATTGCAGTTTGTAGACATTTGGTTATTTATTTTGTAGTGTTGGATTGGACCCGGGGCCTCACATGTCCTAAGTGAGTGGCATCCCTAACCACATTAGCTTTTTCAAAGATAGACTCTCCTTTTGTTTCCTTCTGGTATTGTTTGTTGTAGTTGTTGTTTGAGTTTTTGGTTGGGTTGTTTTTTTTGTTTTTGACTCTTTGGCATTTTGTTCAATTCTTAAAATTAAATGTGGGGTATTGATTGGTCCAGTCATGGTAGACTGCCATTATGGGAAGCCAGGACCCCCCCCCCCCCCCCCCC